ACAACATCTACCTAGATATATTTTGAACTAATTATATATATAGGGTTATTTAGTTACAAACCTGAAGATGCAGCGTGGGAAGGCCTCCAGCAAGGTGGACCGACGATCTGGTCGAGATCGCGGGAAGGCGTTGGATGCGAGCAGCGCAGGACCGATCGTCGTGGAGATCTTTGGGGGAGGCCTATGTCCAGCAGTGGACGTCTTCCGGGCTGCGATGATGATGATGATGATGAAATGCGTAATTGTAATTATATATTGCACTAGCTAACCCACGCAACTTCGTCTGCGTTTAATTTCCCCACCTTTTGCAATATTTTTCAATGCAGCTCCGCTCCTATTGGTCGTAGCGTAATGAGCATTCTTCGAGGACTATCCAACACAAAAAGAATTTTTCAATTCGAACCCGTAGTTCCAGAGATTAGCGGGTTCCAACAAACATACAAACTCTTCAGCTTTATAATATAGCAGTCACTGTATATATAGCAGATAAAATATATTATACCTATTAATTACATAATTAGTAAACAATAACGGACTATACCATAACAATTTAAAAGAATCATTGAAATCAGTCGCGGATTCGTTTCCTCGCACAGTGCAAACATTCATGAGTACGATTGTTTGTATCTGAGTGTATTCGATGTATATTATGTATATATGTATTTACAAAAAAAAGTAAGTATTTATAAACATGATTTGATTAGCCAGGGTTATTACTATTAGGTACATCTGTCTGTCAGTTTGATTCAATTTCACGACTAAAAGTCTGTAACAAATTTAATGAAATTTAAGGTAAAGATAGAGAGATATACATATATATCGTATACGAGTTAGATTTTAAATAGAGTTACAAAACAACTAGGTGAATACGTCAAAACAACACGGAAACGTAGTACACTATATACGACTCTATAATGAAACATCAACAGGAACTGAACCTAAACCAATTACAGTTGGCAAACAGCGGGCGGTAAATATTTGTCACATAGTCCACTGTCCATTATGATATATATATGTATATATAGTAAGTGTATTAATGCCCGTTTTTACCAACGTCTACCTAAGTTCAGGGGCCACTTAATGTCAGTTTAGTTTACTGTACCCCGCAAGCATGAAATTCATTTTCATACACTTTTGGTTACTCCTAAGTCCTTAGGGGTCCCTTGTAATATAATATATCCCTAGACAACTCACATAGCGCCATCTGGTCCCAAGCTAAGCAGAGCTTGTGTTATGGACACTAGACAACTGATAAAAATAGATTGATATTTTTTTGTAACTATGTACCAATTATACATAGAAAACACCCAGACCGATACAAACAATCATACTCATGATATGAATACAAACAATCATACTCATGAATCATATGCACGGTACCAACATTTGTAATGTTGGTACCGTGCGAGGAATCGAACCCGCGACTATCGGCAGTACAACGGTGTGCTAAACCGTTGGTGTGCTAGACCACCGAGGCCTTCAACTATTTATTTTTTAGAAGCTCTATATTTCACTCCCTAACTCTTAGGTAATAACTAATAACTGTCAGTTATTTTGTGATTTCGAACCAAATCCTGCGTGTTAATAATTATTTCACGAAATAGAGACTTCTGTGTGGGAATATTTAGAGAGTTTAGAAGCGATTGAAATGGTAGATATACTATTTAACCACAGATTGTTTAAAAAACCATGTGTTTACTGCTAAGGACAAAATAACCTTAATAAATATGATGATTTAGATTTATTTATAAGATATAAGTTATTTAAACAGATTGTTTAATTTTTTTTGGAGAAAATCGTGACGAAATTAGTATTTAAAGATGATAGGTGAGTAAACTGAATATTATTTAATAAATTTTTCTTTTAGGTATTCACAATTCATAAATTCAAAATATCTTTATTCATGTAGGTCTATATACTCTTATGATATGTCAAATCTACCGTCAGTTCGGAATGATTTCGAGATGAGAAGAACTGACCAGAAACTCAGCTTGTATTCTTTTCAAATTAATGTTATTCATGTTTACAATATATTATTTTAAGATATCTACTTATATGCAATTAGCTATAGATATATAGCTATATTGCAGGGAAAGTCGAAAAGGATGTAGGCAGGGTTGGATTAACCAATAGGCGGAATAAGCAACTAACTGCCTAGGTATTCCGATAAAAATCTAGCATACTTGGAATCGTTCTTCAACTTCTCAGGATCTTATTAGGTTCTTTTACCAGGTGCTGAGTTTCGCTACCGTATCACCTACCATAAGCTAAAATACCATCCAGATCATCTGTATGAATTGCGGTTTTCTACAAACTTTTTGCCATGTACAACCACATTGTGAAATCACCTGCCAGGAATGGTATATCCGAACAGATACGATATTGAAAACTTCAAGAAAAGAGCTTATTCCTTCTTAAAAGGCCGGCAACTGCAATTCCCCTGGCGTTGCGGGTGCTCATGGGCGTCGGTAATCATTTCCATAAAAAAAATGTTAGCACTTAAATTACTACTTAGATTCAAGTTTGGTAACTTAAAAAACGTATAGTGTTTATTATTTTGCAGTATTTTTTGAAGTTATATGCCTACAGTTATTTCCTTCTTATTTGATCAGTCAACAGTTGGGTAAAATCAAAAAGAAAGCTGTTCTTTTTTGAAGTAGATAAAAAAACGTAACATAAAATCGGTCAAAGGGAACAAATTGAAAATACAATAAATTTCCTGCTTCATACACTTTACGAGTGGTGTAATGGATGGATGGATCGTAAAGCGGCTTTATAACTACATTACGACGCTATTACCTGCAGGGCCATTGTGTAAACAATATCCCTTGATGTAGAACCCACCTACTAAGGCGTGGATTCTTTGTTAGCGACGAAATTAAACCTTTTTGGGGGTTCTTTTGTAACCCATTTCTAATTGCATGTTTAATATTTTAATTGTACAAATTATATAAAGGTCCTATTATATATTAATACGTGAAGCCAAACCATTGTACCCTTATTAAGAAAATTACGCGGATGGTAAGTAGTAAGAAATTTTGCACACTTGTAGTTTATACAGTGAAGGAATGCTGAATATGTATATATTTTTTTTAAAACTATGCATACAAATTGCTCTAAATCAATACAAGAACCAGTATAATATGTAATACCAATAGTTTATTGTCCAATCAGCGAGGTTTGTTTCTGTGCTGTTCACGAAAGTCAATCAAAGTAATATATATATGTATTAATATGTGAAGCAAGTCTTTGATAATAAAACCTTAATAATGTTCAAACTTATAATTCAAATTAATTATTGTCCGAATTACACCGACTGGGCGACCCCTAGTAATAAAAATAACCATAAATAAGTAAAATAATAAGAATAAATAAGTAAATGAGTTGGTCACGACTCTCTCATATTGTAGTATTTATAGTAGAGGCACTGATAAAAGGATAAAGTCCATTTCTATTTTGTACAGATCACTTATCCAAAAATATAGAGATGTTATCATCTCACGGTATACAAGATTTATGAGTATTGGTTCTATAAATCATAACAAAACTGATTCTTATTTGATGAGATGCTGTTGAAAGAATTTGTCTACATATATTAAATATTCATAGAGATACTTATTGAAAATATCTCAAACATAAAATTTTCGTTTTTTAGAATAAATTTACGTATGTACAGTTACAAAGAATGTTTAAAATTTGGTACGGCTGTAAATAATGAAATATAACTATAATTATTATAAGTAGATTATGTAGGTATACATAATTTGAGGTAAAGGAGATAATTATTTTATGAGCTATCATGTTTATTTTTTTTTCGGACTACTTCAATGCTTTTTGCCGCAGCTGGCTTTTAAACCGCTTCACCGGACGATAGGGTGCGAGTGCAGATGGCACTCCAAACCTTACTATTAAACTTATTTCTCATGGTAACCATGGTCTATACCTATACTTGAAGAGCAGCATAGATTTTCCAGAGGACTAAGTCTTCAATCCTCCGTACCACGAAATAGCACATAATTTCGCTCATCATTCAACCGAAACACTGCAAGCTGCAGGTTGACAGTAATAAATAGGTGAGGCACATGTACCCATGCCCGAATTTGTACAAAGTATCGGAATATCTTGGAGCCCCGGACCGTAGAGCAAATTAGACGATATAATCACGGGGTAAGGGTAAATTCATAAATACTATAATCATCGTAATTACGTCATAATATAAGTTTAAATCAAAGCACCTACATGTACATATATACTGGAACCACACCCGGTGCAATAAAATTTCAGTTTATAACTAAGTTGTAAAATCATCGCTCTGTAAGTTATTGTAGTAGGCACTGTTTTCCATTAAGTTTAGTGCCTAGCAGCTTTACTAGGCAGTCTAAATTCAATAAAATACATTTTTGAACTGTTTTTTTAATGTCATTGTGGCGAATAAATCGGCTACAATGTCACTGACTATGAAATAAAGAATTGGTATGTGCGCTTTATAGTATATTTTAAAAATTTTATGTCCAAATATATCAATACTATCCATAACTTAAAATTAAAATTTATATTATAGTACTGCCATCTGGACCGTATACTGTAGACCACATTTATTATTTTATACAGTGACTAACGCCATCTTTCGAATAATTCCAGAGTTATTTAGTTATACCATAAACAATGCTAATACAATGTTTTCTATTATTCTCATGTAGATACCACAAGATACTGTATAATCTGTATTCATGAATTGAATAGATTATAAATGAACCCATTGTATTTCGATAATATGCTTTTCTCTTTCTAACATCATGTATTAGAAAGAGTGATCTAATATTATTTTGCAAATGATTTAGTTATAATCTTTTATTAAAAATTATAAACTTAAAATAATTTGTTTTAAAATAGGTATTACAAATTCTGTAAACTACCAAAGAAAAATATTCTATATAATTTATTGTCTGTTTCATTCAGTCTATGACATTTCTATTATTTTTTTTGCGCCTGCGCACTTGATGGTCTACGCGACGTATATAAAATCATTTTGTGGAAAATTTGAAGTTTGTTGTTATTAGTGACAACATAAAATTCATAATTATATATGAAAGCGACCTGTTAATTACCATTCCAGGCGAGCGGCTGGTTATTCAGTAGCAGTCCGCCTGGATGCGTTCAGTCACTATTATTTTGTTCGAGCGGTCTACGGTAGCCATCTTGGAATCGAACAAAGCTTCAGATGTGTAGTTTGTCTGTTTATCAATAATTTTTGTGCATTTTCTTGTAAATAGTTTGTATGTTTAGGATATGTACGGAACGTTCGTCCATATGTGTAAATAGCTATGGCTGCGACAAGGAAATTACAAGGTAATCTGTCATGTTATCAGGTTAGAGACTGACCCCAACCGATCTTGTTGCGTGTTCTAGAGCACGATACGTTTGTTGTCGTTGACGACCACCTCATTCTTATTTGATTTACTGAAAGCGGCAATTAATACACAACCTCGATTAGTATTAGCTATCAATTTCAATCCTACAATATAGAAGTTACGATGTATCTGTTACACAGCCTGTTTGCACGTTGATGCTGGTTTAGTTTTATTACCCTTCAAATTTCTTACTATAAACTTAATCTAAGTGTCTGCTGTGACTAGAATGTACCGGCATTATGTACATTTGTTCTCTTATTGACAAAAACAATGTTGTTATTAAAACAATATGTTAAGGAAACAGGTGTCTATGAGTGACAATGTCAGTCTTGCTTGCAGGTGAAATAGACAGGTGTTTAAAAAAGGTAACAGAAGGGGTGGAGACGTTTGAGGACATCTGGCAGAAGGTACACAATGCGACGAACAGTAATCAGAAGGAGAAGTATGAGGCAGATCTCAAAAAGGAGATTAAGAAGCTTCAGAGGCTACGAGATCAGATCAAATCTTGGATCGCCTCTGGAGAAATTAAGGATAAGAGCACACTTTTAGAATATAGGAAACTAATTGAAACGGTTAGTGAGGTTATATTTTTTTTAGTCTTAATTAATCTGATGTAGTGAAAATATATTAATACACAAACTAGAAATTAATGTTGAACATTTCTGTATGGGTTTAAAGGACGATTTATGATCTTTATAACACCACATAAAATACTTTTCTCAGTTCTCTCTTATACACTGATTAGGGGACTCGGACTACTACTCATACCCTAATGTATATGTATCTATACTCTACCAATATGCTTAGAGATATAGATAGAATACAAATATATACATTATAACTTGCAAATGCTCTTAATTTATTTGATTGTCATTAATTTTTGAACTTTTTAATTAGACACTAGTTCATATAAGTTGGAATACATTCTGATTTCAATTGTATTCTTTTATATATATTCTATAATAAAAAGTATCTAATTTGTACATAATTCTTTATACAATACTAGCTATACCCATGTTAAATTTCAATAAAAAATATAGTTTATATGTTATTCTGATGCATAAGCTATATTACTGTAAAGTTTCATCAAAATCATTCAGTAGTTTTTATGCGAAAGAATAACAAACATCCATACTCACAAACTTTTGTGTTTATAATATTATTAAGATTATGATTGACTGAAGTTGATTTCGTTTATTGCAGAAAAAATATAATTCATTACTGTCCTGGGCCTCTTCTCTGGCTCTCTGGTGTCATAGTCCTTCCTTTTAATCACTTTAATATGTCTTCTCATAAATATGCTCAACTTCTAAATCAAATCAGAAATAATTGATTCATGTCCATCATTTTAACTGCTAATAGTTCTCAATTTTATTGTATTAATGATTTATCCCTACTGTCCAGTTCAGTATACAGATTCAATTGAAAAGAAGTGTCAAGAAACTCAACTGAGTATATATTTATACTATGAAGTATTTGTGTTAAATCTTTTTAGAGACATAAAACAACCAAAAATTGTATTAAAGAAGCAATCAGTATGCAGTAATCTGTTTTAATTGCCTTTTTCTCCAACTGAATGGCAAATAAGCTCATGGAAACTGGCATCTGTTCTCTTTATACAGGAACAACACAGTGCATACCATGTAAGACTGTGTACTACTCATTTACTGTAATTCCAGAGTACTTTTTAATATGGTTGACAATGGTATGGTGTGCCCGCCTGCACTAACAGTTTACGCTGGCGGGGCACCAGTGGACGATGATAAAATGAGTATGAGGTCAGGTCAGTTAGCCCATTGCGGTAGAGTCACCATGAATTTATACTGCCAATCCCCATCCCCCCTATTCTAGAGTACTAAGAAGTCATGCCTCCATGCCCTGTATAAAGCTATGTAGCAATAATGAGTATAAAGCCATGATCCTACAAATCTTTAGGTACCTAGCTACCTACAAAGATTTAGGTGTAAACAATTTAAATTCAGACAGACTAGCATGATATCAAATGTTTCAAAAACATTGAGGACAAAATTTTCATAGCATTATGTGAAGAACTATACAGAAATGAATGATGTTTTATTAGTAAACTAGCTGTACCCATGGTTTGACCAGTGTTAAATTTCAATATAAAATACTTATAGTATATATGTTATTCTGATGCATGAGCTTTATTATTGTATTTCATCAAAATCTGTTCATTAGTTTTTGCATGAAAGAGTAACAAACATTCATACTCACAAATTTTCGCATTTATAATGTTATTAAGATAACACTATATCTATGTTATATGTTTTCTCGCCAAAATTCAACTTGTGTATGTATGTTTATTGTCAACATGTTTTTAGTCTTTGCGTGATAAATACAAGTCACTTGGTAATAATAGTGGATTCTATCCCCACATAATCCAAACATGTTGCTGTCTGTTTGTATTGCTCTGAATATTTATGTTGACAATTCTCGGTTTCAGAATCTATTAAAATATCAAGAAATATGAATTTTGGATATTACAGTAACAAACAATCATTTATAATGCATTTTTCTTCTAAGATTGTGATATATAAAATTTGTAATTATGGTTCCACTTTTCATATATATAAACATGATTAGTAATATATTTACGAAGGCCTCGATGGTCTAGTGGTTTAGCCCACCGCTTTACTTTTGATGGTTGAGGTTTCCATTCCTCGCACCCTGCAAACATTTTTATTCATGAATATGATTGTTTGTATCAGTCTGGGTGTTTTCTATAATTTACTTATGTATGTATTTATAAAATAAATCTTAAGTATCAATTATCTAGTATCAAATATCTATAATCAATTGTCTAGTACCCATAAAACAAGCTCTGCTTAGCGGACTAGATGGTGCTGTGTTAATTATACAGGAATATTTATATACAGATTCCGTTAAGCCGATAGGTATCATCTATTAATTTTATGTTTATAATATTAATTACTGCACTCCACATACCTTAATTATGAGTTAATTGCTTGAGAACTCTTTCACCCAAAGTTATGAGTTAACTAATCATATATTCATGAAATATAATTAACTTATCAGGTCACATTTATTATTTGCTCTAAAGTAAACATTGATACATCTTAGTCTTAGTTATTTATAAATGTGCTTAATCCTAATAAACATGATTGTAACAGCATAAAAAATTAAGAATATAATTTCTAGTGGTGACAAAATTAGAATATGATTTGTAGTAGTCTCATTCTGTCACTAATAATTAGCGATTATGTATTTAAACCAGAAAACTTTTAAGAGAAGGAAAATTTGAAAAAAGAATAATAACATAACCAGCCTAAATATATTATGGAGCTGGTTATCATCTTGTTCTTTTTTTTGTACCAGTGACAAACCTAAATATGTTATTATTGTAACAGTAGGCTAATTCTCTTCCTAATTAGTAGAGAACTGTACCCAACAGTGGAGTATAATAACATTTTACGACTCTCTTCTCTCTCTCTTTCAGCATAAAGTAGTCCAGTGCTGGACGTATGCCTCTTGCATAGTTTTCTACTTAGTTCTATCGTATTTTACGACACTGATAGACTATTATATTGAGTCCTAAGCAATTTCTCTATTGGAATAATATAGAAATATACTTTTTTACCGTACAATCATAACAGATGAGCACAGGACCAACTGTTGCTAAACAATAACTGTGTTGTATAGACATCTAAAACACCAGGATGCCTAAAACTTTAATAAACCCTTTTTAAATACCACCCCATGTTATAATGCAATCCTAACATATATTACATTAATGGATAGAAAAATCTGATGGAGTCAAATATAAATAATATTTGTTTAAATTTATTTTGTGATCCATTTGAAACTGTTTGTATGACTGTATAGAATGTAAAATGTATTAAAGTATGAATAAATTATATAAATATGCACTACTTTATATTTACAGCAAATGGAGAGGTTTAAAGTAGTCGAAAGGGAGACAAAAACGAAGGCATACTCCAAGGAAGGGCTCGGGGCGGCGCAGAAGCTCGACCCCGCGCAAAAGGAACGGGAGGAGATGGCTTCGTGGCTTGTCTCGTCTATCGACGCACTTAATTTACAGGTCAGTAACAGAATTTCTTGTCTCACTTGTATCTTCCTCTTCGATTGATCCCCAATCCAATTTAAAGGGGGATCGAAATTACGACGGCCTGAGCTGAGGTTCGAACCCCCTAGCGGTGCCCTCAGATTAAGGTAGTATCTGTCAGGCGGGAGTTGGCCTTCAGTCGCTCCATAAGTCTATTATAGTCATATAGTCTAGTCTAGTCTATATTCTGATAACTAAAACTGTCATATTATATCCTAATATTAAAAAAAATCCCTTAAAAAATGATCTTATTAATTTTATTTATCTCTATTATCGTGATTTGTATTTTTTATATTAGGATCAGTTCATAACAGAAGGGATATAATGATCGTAATAATAATAATAATAACCCTGGATAATTCATACAGTCCCGTCTAGTGCCAGGCTAAACAGAGCTGTTATGAGTACCACACCATTGATAGAAATACTTAAATATGTATTTTTTGTACATACACAGTATACATGGAATTTACCCAAACTAACACAGACAATCCATCCCATGATCATCTTACATATATATATCTTTTTAAATACATAATATACAGAGAAAATAGATCTACAAAGAATCACAATCACGATTACAAAAGTGCAAGGAATCAATCCCATCAGAAGTAAAGTGGTGTGCTGAACTACTAGACCTCATAGTCAGTTGAAATTAATAATTATATTTTGTCGACCAAAACATATATTTAACTTTCTATGCTAGTCTATTTGTTATACTGCCAATATGCCACTATATATTCACACTAGCTTTTGCCCGCGGCTTCGCTCGCGTTAATTTATCCCCTTAGGGGTGGAATTTATCAAAATCCTTTCTTAGGGGATGCCTACATTATAGTAGCTTTATGCTTGCAAAGCTGAGAAACCCAATCCGTTTAAAATTGACAAAGTTTCATATAAACTTTCATCCCCTATTTTATCCCTTTGGGGGTAGAATTAATCAAAATGCTTTCTTAGCGGATGCCTACGTCATAATATATACCTGCATGCCAAATTTCAGCCCGATCGGTCCAGTGGTTTGGGCTGTGCGTTGATAGATCACTAAGTCAGTCACCTTTGAGTTATATATGTTTAAATTATGTGTATATTGTATTTATATATCATCCATAACAGACTATTTAGGTCATTATAATTTATTCTTACTATTAAATAAGATCTCTATGGGTTTTGCAGGTTGATCAATTTGAGTCTGAAGTAGAATCACTGTTAGTTGGTAAGAAGAAACGACTGGACAAAGAGAAACAAGACCGAATGGAGGAGTTGAAGGTGAAATTGGAGAAGCACAGGTTCCACATAAAAAAACTTGAAACCCTATTACGAATGCTTGACAATATGTCTGTTGAGGTAGAACAGGTGTGTTTATATATTATCTACATTTATTCATTGTTATCAGACTATATTCTCAACTATTAAAATGTTTATAAGGCTGCTAATATACAGTCGGTTAGTCTGCTAATATACAGTCGGTTAGTCTGCTACAATGCTACAAAACTGTGCACAACAAAAATCTGCAGATTTTGCCATACTGAAGAGGAAACGCCACTACACATCCTATGTGGTTGTAGCCTACTCATGCATAAACGAAATAACTCCTATGGAAAGTTTACACTCTTTCCTGAGTAGTTATAAACCATTGCTTCTAAGAATATCCTTCAATTTTTGTCCCTGATGGGTCTAGGTGAACTCTGAAAAAGGGCGTGCACAATAGATCTATGTAGGTCGCAGTGCTACAGGCACCTGACATTAGCCCAAACAACCCAATAAAAAAAATAGTCTAATACGCCGCGGCTAATAGGCGTATCACGCGTATTAGCTGCGGCGTAGCAACCAAATACGCCAATCGAAGTGTATACAAACTTTGGGGCAATTTGATGATTAATAATATCTCATGACAATCCAACAGCGCCATCTAGTCCCTTAATAATATCTTTGATCCAGGACTGCCATTGGGTCCAAAGACGTAACATTACGACTTGATATCGTGTTGCTGATCATGTATATAGGCTGTAAGATATACTGTAATATATATACCTTTAACAGATCGCTTTAAGCGATAAGGCCGCCTTTTAATTACCACATTTATGTGTAGTTCTTTTTTTGTAAATATATATCCGTGCACAATAAACTGTTATATTATTGCTATAGATGACATTTTTAACATATTTCATAAGGTCAGCCATCAGTAAGTTTCCTTCTCCAATTACATGTATAAAAATTGTATGAATATATGAAAGTCTACAGGTAAAAAAATTAAATGTTACAGATAAAAAGGATAAAAGAAGATGTCGAATACTATATAGACTCATGCCTAGATCCAGAATTTGAGGAGAACGAGTATATATACGACGACATCAGAGGGTTAGACGACATTGATCTGAGCGCCGTGGGACTGCCGTCCTCAGCTACCACCGACAGTAATAACAGCAACCACTCACCGGGGTCACCCACCAGTATACTTTCAGGTTGGTACAGCCACTATACTGTTGCACTACTCATAATAATAATAATCATCACATAAATGAAAAGGCTCATAATAAGTACCCACATTCACACACACGCCATACTCTGGTTATTTTTTATGTATATTAGGTATGTGTTTACAAAAATATATCTTAGATATTTATATCAGTTGTCAAGCATCTATAACACTATTCTGCTCATTGGGACATAGTGGGACTAGATGGTGCTGTATTAATTGTTCAGGGTTAAATAAATTAAAGATCCTATAATTACACAATATAAAACCCGAGATTGCTAGTTTGTAATAGAATAGAATAAAATAGAATAGAAAATCATTTATTCAAATAAACTTAATTTAAGCACTTTTGAATAGTCATAACAATTTGTTTTTTATTTACCCCTCATTCGGAAAGCTGTCTCATCACAAGAAGAACGAGCAAGAAACTTGTGTGTTGCTCTTTTAAATAATCCTTGTAAGTTTACATTTACAAGTCGAAACGTGTGAATACAAACTACCAGTAAGCACTAATTTTTTGGGTCAAATATAATCATGCAATAAGATTAAATCAGTCGTAGTGATAATGTAATATGAACTCTATTCTCGGCATTTAGTCTCTCATCTAGGCTGTTGTGCGTGTAGAGCTGAGACTATTAAACTAGTCAGCAAAGCTCCTCTCCGACGTCACGGGCCTGATAATGGCTAGTTATTAATATCATTACTCTGTATGTATTCTAGGTACAAGTCCAATCCCATCACCAACGTTAGAAATGCACAATCACTCAACAGACTCCACAGAGCTGGAGAAGAAGAAGAAAGAAGAAGTCATAGCGAAAGTAAGTACAAACATTGACAGTCCCACAATCATCCATTACACATCAGTTGTCCATTGATAACTTGAATTATATACAATCTAGTTATGTGGAGTTTTGATGTGAATTTTCCAAATTACTTATCAATTAGTTTTGGGTTCAAATTTATAATTTCTATTTGCTTCCAATTAGCGGCTATTCTAGAGCTTTCTTTACTGTTTTTACTTTTATACGCATATTTATTAATGGATAATAAATTTATTTAATGTCTGTACCTATACTTTTACGTCTAACTATGTATGTAGTCTACAGGCTCAGTTGTAAAGAATGTACCGACCCGAATTGCACTGATACACTCATGAATCTTAAATTCCCCAAAGATGTGGAATATTGATGTTTTTTTAAATCCTTCAAACTGTAAGGTTACATGATAACTGTAGTATTAAAATTGATGAAACGTCAGTCGGCTCGTGACTCTAGTGCAACTAAGTCGAAACGTCGAGAGAGGATATCTTTATTTGCCATAATATTATGGTTAAAATATTTACATGAGAGTTTAAATTAAAATATACTTTCATACATATTTACGCTTTGTTTTAATAAGTTCGATTAAAGTAATTCAGTTTTTCATGAGTATTTTATCTAATTTTCGACTTGGTATAACTACAACTGACCCTGTTTATCTATTATTAATGTTTAAACTATGATTTTTTCGCTCTGTAATACTTTTGAGTCGAATACTAAATGTGCCAGAACACGTGTTACAGAGCTGCGGCCTGACCCATTGCCGTTCCTACTTCCCAAACGAACCCAAAACTAATTTAGCCGACTTTGAAAGTGGTAAATGATGTTGTGTTAACTTTGCAGCCGGTTAAACCACTGCCGCTTCGAGCGGTGAACACCAGCCTGGTCGGTAATAGCACGTCTAACGTTTGTTCCTTGCTCAATAACTCCGCAGCATCCACCAATAGGTCAGTCCCCTCTGACACCTGTATTTTGATACGATTTTTTTATTTTCTCCCCATTTTTTCTTTTGCGTCGGCTAACGGTCGGGAACAATTTATTGTAATGATCATATTTTTTAATATTTATGAGGTATAATAATTTATTGATTTACTCTTATTTGTCTTCATATTGTTTATATTATATTATATCTAAACAGGAAAGAAAATCCTGTACCTAATGGCCACCGTCATAATAGTAGGCTCGGCCTTTCTTTTATAAAGAAAGGAGAGACTTTCGGTCTCTCCCTTACAAAAGTTATTTTTGTAACGAATTATTTGTATTTCAACGAAATCGAAACTACAAAAGAAATTTAATTAAGTAACTAATCTGGCATATAAACACCGTACCAAAGGAATTTTAGAAATATAGTTTACAGATTTTTTTACCAAAACGAAACAATTTTGAAATTTCTCAAATGTAGAAAATGAATGTTAAATTTTCCCACTTCCAATCAATTGCGATTTAGTTTAAATGTACCAATTATTTACTGGAGTGTAAAAAAATATATATATAAAAATTACCTATCAATCATTTGAGAGTTGCAAATGCAATTTCAAATGTGAAATAGTTCGTAAATGTAAGATTGTAGATTTTAATCTGATTCAAATGATAATTGTTAATAACATCGTAAACAGTGTTCGCCAGCTGACGCCAGCATCTGGTATACTTGATACTTCGCTGTTTAATCATCAATTACTATTGTAATATTTAGTCTACATTGTTGCGGGTAATACGATGTTATCGGTTGATACGATGTATATTACAAATGAGAATGGACTCATAAAATATACATAAAAATATTGATCTTATATACTAAATAACAGTAATAAAAATCTAAGGTGGGGTGAGACAGTTTAGAGGCTGTGTTTAGTAGACAACATTGAGTTTATCTTGCTAGTCATAATTAATTGCAAGTATTATATTGATGTATCGAAGTAGCTGTGTCCCATATCTATTATGAAATCATCATGGGACATGGAGGACCCTTTGTACAATAGTTTGAAATGAGAATGAGAGTAAATCAATGTTGTATATAAAAATGTAATTTAGTGACATATATATTACAGTACATTGTTCCCTGACACTGAGTAGATATACAAAATTGATTCACATACAAATGGGAATAATACGACGTGGTTCTTATTATTCTCATCCATTGCACGCTCCGCTCATTTTTTTTATCGCATGTATATTTCTTAAATGAAATTTGTAATTTATCCTTGGTTTCTACGCAAAAGATTCTAATACGTTTGTTCAATTACAATTATTATTTATGCTATACAAAATCAGATGATTTTAAAATTGGATCTAATTTTTTTCAACTGTTCTTTTTGTTTCAGTTTAATTTTTTTAAGGGATTATTTTTTAACACAATACACAACCAGGCCGTTATTCACGCGAGCGTTATTTTACAGTATGCAATTGACCTCAAGTTAGAGAGAGATAGAATGATAGAATAATCTAAATTTTATACAGACAATGTTTGTCAAGAGGTGGTACCTTCTCTCTCTAATTGTATTTTGAATATAAGTCAAATTGTTACTTTTTGCGTGTACCACACGTTATTAATATAGTTTGTCGGGTATTAACACGAAATTGTGCTAAGGCAACCGATATACAGTCGGTTAGTAATGTTGCCAGAATTCGACTAACGTTCCGATACAGTACGATTGGCGTATTCGAATCTTCCGCCCTTTTTTTAGAGATGAACAGTATTCGCTAAACAACTGTATATCAGCAACCTTATGCAACGTACTTGAAACGCGAACATGATGTTATAACCCGATTCGTGTTGAAACCTGAGAAACTATATTAATAAAATTATAAAATTGGAGCCCACTAACATTTCTAACCTCAATGCGAGAGCGGTACGTGCTATATATATAATTGTTTTATAATGCCCAAATGCTTTTCATACAATTGCATACAGTATACATGCATAAAGTCAAAATCAAAAGCATTTATTCATATAGAAAAAACATTTTTTGCCACTTATGCACATCAATTTTTATCACTATTTATAATCCTACCATCCTCCTGGCTGCTTTAACTGAGAAGAACCGACAAGAAACAAGACTGGTATATTATTAAACACATACTTATAATGTAACATACACTGCCGCGGTATCGTAACTGAAATTGTACTATGTAAAGAATTATCCAGTTCAATAACGCTCGTGTAATAGGGCCATTAGAATCGTTGCGCAGAGACTAAAATTTGCATTATAGATTTTGTTAAAAATGGAATATCATTTATTAGTTTTTGTACTGTAAGCCTATAAGCATTGCGACTTAATTTTTGCCAAATGCTTGCAGATCTTAATTGTTAAAAGATATCGAATGAATGCAACTATGGTATTACCTCTGAGAATGGCTAAAATATGCCAATGCATATAATCCGGTCTCTAGTTATAACTATGTACGGTACTACTAATTTAATGGGCTTTATTTTGACTACCTGGAAGTCATCTTTAGGGCGATTTAAATCAAATCATAATTAAATATCAAAATTACATTCGTAACTACATATATGCTGCTTAACAACAATCTGCAGATTTTACCAAACAGAAGAAACGCCACTACACATCTTATGTGGTTGTAGCCCACTTGTGCATAAACGAAATATCTCCTTTGGAAAGTATACATTGTATCCTGAGGAGATAAGAACTATCGCTCCTAAGAATATCCTTCAATTCTTGTCCCTCACGGGTCTAGGTAGAGAGCTTTGGAAAAGGCCGAGCACAATAGATCTTTGACAGGTCTTAGCACCTGACAATAGCTCAAAACTCCAATAAAAAAATAAATAAAATGAAAATAGTGAATTCGTCACAACGTCACGCCTATCTACTTGTAATTTTATACATGTGTCTCCGTCTGGAAATTGTATATTTTAATATTGAAATTATACTGTTTTGCAGCCTTACGAGTATACACTTGAATTTTTAGTAAGTAAGAATTTTAAATATTAATTTCATTATATATGAAATAATAGCATATACGAATTTTGTATTTTATGTACACACTCAACGCTATGCTTGTTCAAAATCGTAGTTTAGGCATTTATACATTTGTTATATAACTTTATTTTATTTTATAGTTGTACTAGCTGAACTGGCAAACATTGCTTTGTCATATAAAATAATATCGCTATTAAAAAATAGGGGTTGATGGTAGAAGGGTGAAAATGTAGAGTTGAATGTATTTTTTAATGTCGATTCGTCAAAAATAAAGATAATCTCTTGGATGGGCGATAAATACGACGGTAGGCCATTATCACTTGGGATATAAACAAATAAATATCAACCTATTTTTATAAAATTTCATCAAAATTGGTTCTGCTGTTTAGGATTTAATCGCGAACAAAGAAAATGACACGAGATTTTTATATATTAATATTAAATGATGATTGATGTGGACGTTACTTACACGCAATATTAAAGAAGAAAATGATGGTGTCGTGGTGAACGCAACATGCCACATTTCGTAGTGTTGATTCGAATACAATATCTGTTACGGATGAACCTGCCGCCGTCTCTCCGATTTATGTGATTTGTTATGAGTGTCTATCACAGATACGTAAATTGTCACACACAGAATAGAGTAAATTAAATCAACAATCATTTATTTCTGTAGGACATTTTAGACGCATAAAGTCAAGTAGTATTATATTTTTTTACCCTATTAACCAGTTCAATATACAGACTCAATTGAGAGGCACTGGCAAGACTCTAATGATTTAAACAGTAATTTACTTATGTAGGTGTCTAGATCTAACGTTAAATGAAAATGCCATGAATGAACAACTATTGCCATGCTCGCTCGTCAATAAAATAGAAAATTCTTTATTGAAATAAACTTAAATTCAAGCAACTTCGGAAAGCTGTCTCATCACAAGAAGAACAAGCTAGGAACTTGCGTGTTGCTCTTTTAAATAATTGTAGTAACTACATTTTTAAATTAAAATGTGTAGATACAAACTACCAACTAGCATTAATTAATTTGAGTCAAAATATTAAATACACAATCAACTGGTTGAGTAATTAAATAAGATTAAATCAATAGTAGTGATTAGAGCAGACCAATCTCTGCAGGCAACACTAGTTCACGAGTATGAGCGGAACGGTAATATAAATAGTAATCAGTTTTTTTTATGTTCAACAGCTTTGATGTCATTTTCCTTTCTATCTAAACCAGCGTATTACACCACTAGGTCACAACGTTCATCGTACAATGTTAAAATACCGTTATTCTACAATAATACAAATTCTAACTTCATTATAGGCGCTATGACATCCTAAGACGGTGACTATAGGCTTACAGTACAAGTAGGGTTGCCACCTTTAAGAAAATAAATATTTGTTTTATTATAAAAATATAGTACTGTTGGGAAAAGTTTTGCGAAAATAGTAAAAAAAAATTTTAGTTATGATAATTTTTTTATGGGTGATAATGGAATACCGCATCTGCTTGCGCTAACGGTTTATCCTGGCAGAGGTGATAGGATGAGCGCGAGGTCAGGTTAGTTAGCCTATCAGGACATATACAAAAGGAATTATTCATGATGGTTTCCAGGGGAACCGCTTGGAGGTCAACCTGACAGTACATTGCTAACAATGTGGTAATTAGTCCACAGTCTGACAATCCCCTGTTATGACAATTGAAAAGTGTGACAAACATAACAAATCAGCGTCTTCAATTTCGTTTTGATATTCTTCACAACTCATTATGGGTGTATACAAGCTTACTATAAACAATTATATAAATATTACTATTATTAATTATATTACCAACAATATTATAGTACAATTCATATTATATTGTTTATCTATTAATATAGGATAATTGACTAAAATATAGGATACTATCTTAATAATATTATAAATGTGGAAGTTTATGAGTATGGATGTTTGTTACGCTTTCAAGCAATAAGTACTAAATGGATTTTAATGAAACTTTACAATAATATAGCTTACTAGCTGTGCGCGTGGTTTCACTCGCGTGAAATTTATAACCTATACGTTATTCTAATGTATATAAACTATATTATTGTAACTTGATTAGAATTCATTGAGTAGTTTTTGAAAGAATAACTTTCACAAACTTTAATATATTTAATTTGAATAAAATACAAAAATTATGTAAAAATCTAATTGTGGTGGTGAATATAAGGAAAACTTTAGATAAGTACTGCGACATAATATTTGAATATAATTTGTAAATAACAACATGGACAAAGGATCAGTTCTAGCTAGACATGTCCATACATTAATTAATAGATATAGTAGTTTAATCCTCAATAAATGTTTATACGGTCCTATAAACAGATCTTGTGAGCCATGTCATGAAATGAAATGAATATTTATATACAAAATACTGATAATTGCACAGAGCAGATTTTATATAATAATTATTAAAATGTTCAGCTATATTTACCATTCAAGATGTGTGAAAATTAAAAATAATGAATGAAATTAATGTCTATTTACAAAATACTGGTAATTGCACAGAGCAGATCTTATATAAGAATTATTAAAATGTTCAGCAATATTTACCATTTAAAATGTGTAAAAATGAAAAATAATGAAATGAAATGAAAGTAATGTTTATTTACAAAATACTGGTAATTGCACAGAGCATATCTTACATAATAATTAATAAAATGTTCAGCAATATTTACCATTCAAGGTGTTTAAATTATGTTACATTTAAAACCATAAAATTATTTAAACTACTATAATATACATTACTTTTTAATTTTAATTTAATTAGATTATTAGATAAATATATTAATTTCTCATAAATTACAGTTAGATATAAAATCTTCAACAGAATAAAATTATTAATTAAATATTTAAACGATTTCCTTTCAAATTGAGTATATGTTAATATTTTTACAATATCAGCCCAATTTAATAGCCATGCATTATTATTATAAACTTCCGATTATATAATATTAGTAAGATGCATATTTATTATATATTTTATATAATTCACAGTCTATATCAAAACATAGACTGTGAACACGCGAGTGATTATTTTACATAGTATCCGTCCAGCTTGTAACAAACCAGTGGATTGAACGTGTATACGATTGCAGTATAAACAATGTGGTGTCGGGAGCGTCGACGCCGAGCAAACAGCCGGCGCCGAGTCCTCCGCACCAGCAGCATCAGCAGCACACTCCACTCCAGCACGCGGTACAGCATCACCAACATCCGCCGCACCTACTCGTGCGGCCGCCTAACGCGACTGGTATGTATTTGAAATTCGACCTTGGTGGCTTAGCAGTTAAACACTTCCGATGGTCGCGGGTTCAGAATAGAATAGAATAGAAAATCTATTATTCAAATAAACTTACAATGGAGCACGTTCGATTCTCGTACAGTACAACCATGTTATGTGTGGTTTAGGAGTTAAACACTTAGACGGTCACAGGTTCGATTCCTCGCGCAGTACACACATGTTATGAACGCCCCAACTACTTGTACGGCCGCCTAACGGGACTGGTGAGTGCGCGAAATGTGTTTGAAATTCGGCTATGGATTAGGAGTTAAATATACTTCCGATGGTCGCGGGTTCGATTCTTCGCACAGTACAAACATATTATGTATGCACACCAATATCCGCCGCCACGTATCGCTCCCGGTGAGTGCACGACAAGTAGTTTTGATATTTTACCTCGATAGTTTAATAGATAACCCTTTCCAATCCAAGCCTTTTTTCTTTTTATTCCACCAGCTCCACGCTAAAATTGCGTTTTTAAATTTTTAGGGGTTATTTTTTCGTTTGCTTTTTTTTATATTGTAACATTGTTGAAAAGCACTGAATAAATATTTTTTCTTTCTTTCTTTCTGCTTTCTTATTATAACAGTGCAATCGGTGACAGTTGTAGAAATCAGTGCTGATGCCACGTTTCGTAGTAAGTGTGAGATGGCTTCAACAAAAATTATGGTAAAAAAATCTTACCTTTTTTAAAATTGACCGTAAACAGAAGTATTACACTATGTTGAGTGTCACTGGACAGTGGAGCTGGTGGAATAAAATCAATGTCATGTGACCCTCTCGACATTGGAGTGGAAAGGGTTTTTTATGTGTATGATAATGGAATGATGCACCCGCCTGCGCTAACGGCTTACGCTGACGGGGCACCAGTGAAGGATGATAAGATGAACATGTGGTCAGGTCAGTTAGCCCATCGTGACAAATTTACCAGGAATTTATCACGATGGTTTCCAGGGGGAACCGCGTGGAGGTCAACCTGATATAGTACATTGTTAGTAATGAGGTCAAGAGTCCACATTACTAACAATTCCTCTCCCCCTGAGTGGAAAGGGTTAATATAACGCCTTTATCACAAGGATTTCAAGAAATCTGTTAAATTATTTTTCATATTTCCGCATTGTATCTTAGAATAATTTAATATTAGATATATTAAAACCCAATAGAATATCAATAAAACAAACTAAATCACAATTAAAAAAACCTCAAATTCCATACGGACGAGGCGAGACGCAAATGAGTAACAGTTAATATTTACAGTTTAGTAAATCTGTACATATTATAAAACAAAGTCCTCTGCCGCGTCTGTCTGCGTGTTTGCGAGTCTTCAAAAGTATTGAAAATATTTTCATGCCGTTTTCTACACTAACAGAGTGATTACTGAGCATGGTTTGGTATAACATCTTAAGGTTTTGTATAAATTAATTGAAATGCCCATACCAGACCTGGGCTTGTTATGCAATATATGACAGACTAGCTGCACCCGCGACTCCGTCCGCGTGGAATTTAACATTATTATTCTAAAATAAACGTAGCCAAGTTACTCCTTATTACACTATATTCATATGCGTGTAGTAAAAAACGGTTATTTTAATATGTTATTAAAATGTAAATTCAATGAATAACTAATCATTTATTCATATGTTATTTTTAGATATTATAATTACAATATCACTCATTAACATACGTTGTTTTATCTATTTCCGCGTAACGCCGTGATAAGAAAACTAGGTCAATAATCACACTAACAAACTGTCTTAGAACTGTCAAAGTAAGTGTTGAAATAAAACAAAATAATCTGTCAAGTCACGCACGGCGTTGTGTAACTATAGCCGGCTATGATGTAGGTACTGTATATATTTGTATAATAATCATTTCACATCATTACCTCTTTTAATGACGACTGACCGCTTATAGACAAGACAGACACGTTCCATATAGGCGCCTTGAAGAATTTAGAATCTCTCATGGAAATATTATTGAAGATTAGGCTGTATGGTCTCGTACCTTTGCCTATCCATTTGTGTATAAAATACTCTATTACTACTTTCACCTATAAAATATTCTCATACATAAAAACTACTATAAAAATTCTCATCATTCTCAGCTATAATTCTATATAATAATAATAATCTCAGGACAATTCACACAGTGCCATCTAGACCCAAGTTAAGCTAACTAAAGCTTGTGTTATGGGTACTAGACAACTGATACATATACATAGATAATTTTTTTTTTCGTAAATACATACATAGAAAATACCCAGACCGATACAAACAATCATACTCATGAATACAAATGTTTGTGCCGTGCGAGGAATCGAACCCGCGACCATCGGACGTAAAGCGGTGTGCTAGACCGCTAGACCACCGAGGCCGTCTATATATACATTATCTTTAAGACAATTTATTGTTAATATTATATTGCTCTCAATATACTCATTGTTTGTTGAGGGTCTAGTTTATTTGCTATCGACCCCACACGCCGATAACGTACGGCGTTGTTTACAAAATAAACAAACGGTTATCGGTGCAATGAATGAACGCGCGATCACTCCGCCTCTGCGCTGGCGGGCTGGCATATCGCCAATCGCACTGGCGACTGCCCAACTCGCACCAATCCCGCCCTCAGTCGCCTTCTGCGCACAGTCTTGGTTGCGTCTGCGCAACCCAAAACAAACAATGAGTCCAGTAAACAAAGGATAATAACATGGACGATGGTAAAACGCGTTCTGTGTGTGCATGCGTGTGCAATTTGTGAATTCACACGGTACGTAGTCCCAATGTGAAGTTCAAAGTCGCTTATGTAATTGTTTTGAGGAATGACGTTGGGAATGATGATTGCGTGTTGGTTTTCATTGTCATAAACTGGTGACGTCAGTTTGTGTTTGTGTTTTTTATAATTTACAAGATAAAGATTTTTTAATTTTCTTAATAATTTTCTTTAATAATCTATTTACTTTCTATTTATTCATATCAATAATGTTTAAGATTGATATAAATAAATAAGGGTTATTTATCGACCTGTCTGTCACAGTGCCATCTAGTTATATACTAAACACGACTTAGACTTTTAATATCATCATCTGCTTCTTCCTTATTCCATTTAATCGTGGTCGGCGTAATATGTTTTTCTCTTACATTCATCTCTGTTCGCAGTCATCTCGTTATTTACTCCCTTTCTTACCATATACACAGTATTCACACAGTCCATCCAACTATTTTTCGGTCTTCCTCTGCCCTTATCTATCCATTATCATATATAACATCCTCCTTAAGATATGATCTTCATTCCAATGACTAACATCAGTAAATACTTTTGTACGGTGGTACATATATAACAACTGATTTTTTTTTGTAACTCTATTGAATCTTCTTAATAAATATCAAATAAAACAGAATATACATAGTATGTAGTCACAAAAGGTTTTATCGCTTAAGCGATCTCTCGAGACAACTTTTGGGTAGTGGAGAAATTTAATTAGATAAAAATAATTAGGCATGTGGTATATGAAACATTTTAATCAATAACATTTTTTTTTAATCTAATTGAAATGTCAAACAAGCTGTCTGCTCATTTGATGGGAAGAGGTAACAGTCTCCTATATGAGAAGCACCACTATCACGTTATCATGTGACGCCCTCATACTGCTAATGTGTTGCCATTCCTGTGAACTAAGATGATATGCCTCCATATCCTGTAATTCTGTAATTTCAATTCCTTCTATCTCCACTGTTATACTAAAACACAGCTTACAAAGATGCTTGGCGACTGATATTAACGAGACTGAGACATCCCTCATCAATCAATCAATGAATTAGTATCATTATTCTTTATTGTACACACACATAGGAAAAAAGAACAGTGATAAAATAAATGTAATGTACAAGGGCGACCCTATCTCGAAAGACATTTCTTCCAGCAAACATAGAAAATGGTATATTAGTAGTAGAATAGTGTGTTAACTAGATCAGCCATACATATGTGTACAAAAATGAGGAGATATTATTACATTATCACGGAACGGTGGATTTATACCTGTAAAACAGTACACAAGTATGACCAAAGTTAATTTTGGAAAATGATTCCTACATATTTCAAGTCATATTCATGAATACGAATGTTTCTATTGTTGGGCATCGAATAGCGACCATCTGAAAAGTGAGGTTTATATCTAGGTAGCAAGCCACTAGGCCACTCTCTTTCTCTAGTAGTAATTTACTGTTACCAAAGTGCTAAATACAATTTTAAATTTGATGCGGTCATTATTTATACGTATATTATTAAAAATCACGTTTTATTTTATTGAGTTCCCGGTTTTTAGGTTCTTTTTATAGGAACTAAAAACATAAAAATATATAATATTTTACAAAGTAGGGTAGTGTAACGATAACAGCCACATTAGTGTAGTGTTTCAACCGCCATGATCACAGGTAAACTGAAGAGCAGCGGGTAGATGTAAATAAAATATTTTTTATAGACAGACGTATACGTCTACCTTCACATGTCTTCGTTTGTTGCTACTATTAAAACATCATACCTAACGTATTGAACCATCTACCCGCTTCTCTTCAGTTTACCCGTGATCATGGCGGTGTACATATAAAAGGATTTTTGTATAAGTTTGAACAGTGGATAGCTTATCTATTTTATTTTATTTCAAACCATCGGCTTTAATATTTGTATTTACAATAATATATGTGATAATATTAAAGTTTTATTAACATATAGTACATTAATTTGGTTTGTGCAAAAATAAAAAGAAACTTCGCTGTCACGTCAACCATTTTGTATGTGAGGTTTAAAATGTATTTAGAGATTCCCACTTTGTTTCTGGGTGCGTATGGTTCAGTTTTATGTGTATTACTTTACTTTCTTACCCTTTACGACCTAACCCTATATAGTCTAAAATAATCTACTACTTAAAACAATATTTATTTAAAAGAGTAACGCGCAAATTTCTTGCTCATTCTTCTAGTGACGAGTCTGCGTTCTAAATGAGTGAGTAGAATATTAAAAAAATGACTATTCAAAGATGTTGATATTAAGTTCGTTTAAAGATTGAGGTAGAACCAAAATAAGACTATTCAAAAGTTACACCTGCCTTTCTTATCTTTTACGACATAACCCTGTACAGTCTCAAATAATGTTCTACTTAAAACAAAATGTATTAATAGAACAACACGCAAATTTCTTGATCATTCTTCTTGTGACGAGTCTGCGTTCTAAATGAGTTGTAGGATATAAAATATATGACTATTCAAAAGTTACACCTGCCTTTCTTATCTTTTACGACCTAACCTAAATTAATCTACTACTTAAAACAACATTTATTTAAAAGAGCAACACGCAAGTTTCTTGTACAGTCTTCTAGTGATTTGTGAAATGAATGTCGTGCTTAATGAGTGGTGAAATCAAAATAAGACTATTCAAAAGTGCTTATATTAAGTTTATTTGAATAAATATTATATCTATTTACTAAAAGTTGTTACTCAGTCGATATTCCGCCAGCTTAGGAGTAATGTAGTGTTGGTTTGTTACAGAAGTAGTGGAGAATGGTCCGGTATCAATTGCGCCGGTGCACAACACCACGCATCTACCGCCCACCACTCAGACCGTGCCGGTATGTTTTATTTATTTATTCACCTGTTAAATTATATTTATACACTAACTGCACTAACTTTTCTGAAATAACAATAGCCTAAGTTACTCCTTATTACATCAGCAACTTGCCAATAAAAATCCCGTCAAAATCGGTCCAACCATTTCAGAGATTAGCCGGAACAAACAGACAGACAGACAGACAGACAAAAATTATAAAAAATGTTATTTTTGTGTATGTACCGTATTTATATTCATATGAATGTAGTAAAAAATGTTTATTTCAATATTACAAACAGACACTCCAATTTTATTTATATGTATAGATTAAACAATGTATTTGTGCATTAAAACTATTATAAGCTTTAATGCACAAATACTTCAATAGATGTTTGTTCATCAATTATATCAAATCATCAAAGGTAATAAATATTTATATTTATTACCTTTGATGACCTCGGTAGTCTAGAGGTTTAGCACGCCGGTTTACTTTCAGTGGTCGCGGGTTCCATTTCTCGCACGGTACTGTTTATTTATGAGTAAGATTGTTTGTATCGGTCTGGGTGTTTTCTAAGTTTATTATGTATGTATTTACAAAAAATATATATCTATGTATTTATGGGCACTAAACAACTGGTCTAGTGTCCATAACACAAGCAATGCTTACCGTGGGACTTGATGGCGCTTTGTTAATTGTCCAGGGTTATTTATTTATTATTTACCTATGAGCTTACTCTCTTTTCTATATATTCATATTTTAGTACGTCCATCTTTTTATGGTTCACATTATTCATACTTTAAAAAAAACGAATAATTCTTCATTAAATTGTAGACGTCGAAGAGTTCCTCAGTACCACCAGGTGTGGGGTCAGGCGCGGTCACAAGTTCAGCTCCCGGTGTGGTCACGAGTTCGGTCTCCGGTGCGGTGGTGAGCGAAGCGCCGTCACCACTAACGGTCAACGGTCCCACGCAACCCTCTCCACATCTCACGCCGCAACATGTAGTTAATAAGTGAGTACCATTGAATGTGGAACCATAGAGAATTTTTAAAATATAGAATGGTGTACTCATTGTTAATGTTAATAAATGAGTACTGATTGATGGTGGGACCATAGAGTTTTTTTAAATATAGAACGGTATACTCATTTTTAATGTTCATAAGTGAGTAGTGATTGATGATGATGATATTTTAGCTAAATGTCCTACATGAATAATTGTTTTTTTTTTTATTGTGTCCGGATGTAGTCGATGTATCTATCATTGGCGTAATGTTCATGACGTTACCGTATTCGGTGTTGCAAGTAATAAATAAAATTACTAACTGTTTGTTTCATCTGCGCAGTGGACGAGTGAGCGAAACGTCATTGTTATCCGCCCTGAGCGCGGCGAGCGTGGCGGCGAGCATCCCAGCATCGGTCGCGCCCAGCGGCACCGCCTCCCTCAAGAGCATGGCGCAGGAGGCCGTGCAGCGCGCGGGGCTCCACGCGCACCACACGGTCAGTGCCGCCACACGGTGGAATCTAGTCGTAACTTTAGATTTAAAATTTTAAATGTGTGGTCACTAACAATCTAGCACTAATATATTAAGAGAATAGAGTCCAAATTACATTACATGTTGTTTGTGCAGGCGGGCGGCACGACGGCGGGTCCAAGGCGACCTGCGGCTCTAGCGACGGCCACCATCCCGCCGCTGCTGGGCGTCGCGCCGCTCGGACCGCTCCCCCTCAACTCGGTGAGTACCGCACACACACACACGCACACACACACCCACACACACACACACACAGACTCGCACACACACACACGCATGCACACACACGCGCACACGCACGCACACAGACACACACACACACACACACGCACGCACGCGCACGCACACAGACACACACACACACACACACGCACGCACGCACACGCACACAGACACACACACACACACACACACACACATACACACACACACACACATACCACATACGCCATTTTTCATTAATGCTTCTATTGGTCGTAGCGTAATGTTGTATACCTTAAAGCCTTCCCTGACAAATGGATTATCCTACACAAAAAAATATTTCAAATCGAACCAGTAGTTTCTGAGATTAGCGCGTTCAAAGAAACAAACAAACTCTTCAGCTTTATGATACTAGTATAGACATAGAAATTTCATGTCATAGTATTTGTTAATGTATGTACTTCTCCGAAGTTGTTTGGTTAATTGGCGATCACCTTTAGTTCATGTATATTTATTATTATATATATACAAACGGTATTTAATATTTTATAAAAACGGGGAAATTATTATATAAAAACGGGGAAAATTATTAATATTTGAGGGCTTCTATTGCGTGCGGGGCCCGAACGTAGTCGCGGGCACAGCTAGTATTAATAGCTTCGGGCGGCGGTAATAATTATACCAATTGTGTTTCCAGGAACATCAAATGCAGTTCCAGATGATGGAGTCATCGTTCTACCATATGCCGCACCCGTCCGACTCAGAACGGACGCGTGTATACCTACCGAGGAATATTTGTCAAACGCCGTTATACTACAACCAGGTAAATGGTTAATACATCTGCATTTTAAGATTTCCCTATCTTGTAGGGTAGGAACCCTTTCAATGGATACATTCAAAATACCCTTACGAAATCTAGACGGCCTCGGTAGTCTAGCCGTTTAGCACACCGCTTTATTTCCTATGGACACAGTTTCGATTCCTCGCACGGTACAAATATTTGGTAGTGGTCAGAGTTATGTATAATATGTATGTATTTACAAAAAATATTGTATGTATTTATATCAGTTGTCTAGTACCCATAACACAAGCTCTGCTTACCATGGGACTAGATGAAATGAAGATGTGAATTGTCCTAGGATATTAGGTTCTCAAATATTATTCCTATCCACAAAATATAACACCTGCTTACTGCTGTTACTTTTTCACGACTCCTAATAAAAGGCGTGAAAATAGATTACATCGCGAGGGCACACATAAGCTATCTATAAAAAACAAAGCCGTTTTTATTTATTTTAATATATATGGTGGAAAGTGCCACAAGGTATCTGTGCTTTAAGTTATATAAGATTAAATTTCATTTAGTTTATATTTATTACCATTTTTATATTTCGAATTGTCCCTAATTATTTATATTATACTAGCTGTGGCTGCGGCTTCATCCGCATGAAATTTATAGTCTATTAAATTTATTATTCTGATGTTGATAAAAATCCATTCAGTAGTGTTTGCGTAAAAGATAATCATCCACCCATCCTTCTATCCATCTACAATCACAGGGATATGAGTTCTGAGGAATGCTCGTAATTTTTAAAGGTTGAAAAATAAAATATTTTTCTAGTATCTAGCTTTAAAAATTAATTAGATATATTAGTTCAATAGTTTTTCTTTATTTGGTTAAGGTCTCTATTCCACGCGCACGAAGTCGCGGACACAGCGGTTTGATATAAAATTATGCGTGTTAAATTATATTAGTAACGATATGTTTTGTTTTATATCCTAAAAAATGTTGAATAGTTGGTAACCGTGTTGCAGGTGCTACTACCGCACTCGGATTCCGTAGAATTCTTCCAGCGGCTGTCGACAGAGACACTGTTCTTCGTTTTCTACTACATGGAGGGCACCAAAGCACAGTACCTAGCAGCTAAAGCGCTCAAGAAGCAGAGCTGGCGGTTCCACACCAAATACATGATGTGGTTTCAGAGGCACGAGGAGCCGAAGGTCATTAATGAGGAATATGAACAGGTAAATATAACCTCTATGTCTTATAATATACATATATATTCATGGTCTGTTTTTTAATCCCACAGACAAATTTGACATTTCCGATGTCGCCAGGCTTTTGTATTTTTTAAATAGGGTTGTGTCACTATCAGAAATTAATATTAATTACCCATTTTATAGGTTATTCAGAAATAATGTGTGGGTGTTTATTTAAAAACCATTAACACAAAATAAAGTATTGGTGTTATTAAATATAGGGTTGTGATATGAAAATGAAATATATGTCAAACTAGCTTTTGCCCGCGGCTTGGCTCGCGTTAATTTATCCCCTTAGAGGTGGAATTTATCAGAATCCTTTCTTAGCGGATGCCTACATCGTAACATCTACCTGCATGTCAAATTTCAGCCTGATCCGTCCAGTGGTTTGGGCTGTGCTTTGATAGATCACTACGTCAGTCACGTTTGAGTTATATATATTTAGATACATATTTTTTTATAATTGTCATACAGTGTGTGTGAGCTGAGTTTCTTGTCAGTTCTTCTCAACTCGAAAGCACCTCGAACTTACAGATACATTGAAAAAATCGATAATTTTATTTAATAAATAGGTGTCGTCGGTACAGCACTACAAAACTATAGCTATTATTTGAAAATTTGACATTTACACCTGTCAATTTAGTCTCTGTGTTTAAAAACAAACAGAGTTAGTATATTATTAATTAAGAATGTTTGTTTCAATATTACCGTTTCTTTTTTCCAGGGCACTTATATATACTTTGACTATGAGAAGTGGGGCCAACGTAAAAAGGAGGGCTTCACATTCGAGTACAAGTACTTAGAGGACCGTGACTTGAACTGAGCGAGCAGTGTGTAGTGAGTGTGCGCCCGCACTGTGTACGGAGGACGCAGGTGCCGCTGTGCAATAGTTTTGGGAGTGTGTGTACCCACGAGGCTTACCAAGTGAACATGAATCCATTCCGTTGATGACAGTATTCTTAATTTAATCAGTGCAGTGCAGTACTGTGATTTAGTGTCACTACTATTGTAAAAATCTTCGAATTTCTCTGGCAGTTTGTTAATGTCGCCACGGAATTGTAGAATTAGACGTTTCATTCGGTCGATTGTCATTTGTTATAGTCAACTGTTGCTGATGTTTGATGATAGTTGACATGATATAGTCGAGTATTGCTGACTATAGTCGTGTTCAACGTTTGTTGATTCATATATCGTTTAAAGTAAGTCCATAGAAATGCAGACAATAAAAAATCCTTATAGTTATCGCATTATTATTCACTGCTAAGGCACCCGCCATTGTTTACCGCCACTATTTTGTATCGTATATACAACATGTCAATATGTAGGAAAATAATGCGATGACGGTGCCTCTAGTGGTGAATAATGAAATTATTTTCCGATATGACCTTACAATATTTAGTTATATTACAAAATAATCGTATATTTAGTTGTTTATCATGAAACAATCACTACAGTGATATAGTGAAGACTATCGTATGTTCAATGCGTCAATTTTACGATACAGCTGACTATGTAATGATATGGTTAGTTCTACAATACCGTCATTACATTAATGCAATGTTTTATAGTGTGATGTGAGTTGTCAACTATATCGGTTGTAATAAAAACCAATGTGATATTGATGTAGTATCGGCCGCCCTCGGCGGTGAGGCATCCGGCCCGACCGCTGTGCGTTTTACACTCATATTCCTATTGATCACATGAGTAGCGGTCGGGGCGGGCATCTCACGTATGCTGTCTAGTGATAGCTAAATAGTGTAGTATTTATAACTAAATACTCAGCATAAATAACTTGGCAAGTATTGAGTATTTACTCAGCATCGAGTAAGTACTACATTGTTTATCCATCACTAGTGATGTCCGCCGGTCGGCATGTTGCATTCATGTTGATTAGTTTATGAATATTATTTTTATGTCTAATTCACAGACATGTTGTACAGCAGTGTTTCTTAATCTATGGTCAGCGGATCGCTGTAGGTCTATCGAGCTCGTAGTCTTATCTATGGGCCGATATAATATAATAAATTGATAATTGTTATCCAAACGTTGTTATCCAGTAAGACATTGGTTATTTTCGACGTGGTGAACGCAACACTTGACACGTCGACTTTTCGCTGGCTATATTTGTATCCAATTTTTAAACGGCGAGTTTAAAGCAATTTGACAATAACAAGAAAATGCAACCAGGTTTTAATACCAGGTAATCGCTGTTCTTTGTTAAGGGGTCCTAGAGAAGCAGGGCTTCCGAGCGAATGGCTGAAATAGATTAAGAAACGCAGCTGGAGAGTAGATGTTGTAAGCTAGCTGTAAGATTGTTACGGACGTATTTTGTACACAATGTTGGACATCACAAGCAACATGTCGGCTCGTGGACCGTTCTATAAGAGCATGAAAACTACTGGCGCTGTACGCACACTGTGTCGACACTGTGCCATGTCAAACGTACCTCTAGGTACGTGAAATCACTGGGAATAGAATAACAAACAACGAATCTAACTTAGTTATTCTATTTCATACTAATTTATTTTACTAACACTAATGTAAATTATATGCCATTTTTTTTTAATAATATACAAGTGAGTACGCAGTGTCGTATAGTATGCGTACAATCCAGCGATCTTTGCTAGTCCTAGTATCTCATAGCGCGTGTCTAATATAAGTCACAAGTAGGTGCCGAGGGCGGCCGGCTTTGTTTTAACTTTTGTATAGTTCGGGATAGTATGGTATTGTTTTATTGCCGACTTGCGCATACCGCCGGTCTGATGCGACACCAGAATGTGAAATGACGGAAACATTAGTGATATAATAGTACATAGTGATTTTTATATAATTTTGTTATATTATATAATAATATAATACAATGAAATTATTGAACGTATAAAATGTTTTTTACACCAATAAATTTACTGACTGGCAGACTGGTAAATGTATGGGTATGCTCATAGTACATACGTTTGTCGTGCCCGACGAGTGTAAAATTAAAATCTTAAGAGAAGCTGTATTGATAAGGATCAAATATTTTTATATCTCGCCCCATGTTAGAGAAGTTAGCATCTGGTTCAGTGTATTCGGTTAGCGTCGACCACCGGCGCGTGGTCGCGGTGTGCGCGCGTTGGACTCTAGCTGCATGTAGGAGTTACAGTGTAATGTCATTGATAGTGCTAAGTAATACACTTTTTCACCTCCGCTTGAAAGAAATAATTTCAACATGTTGTGTACATTTATTTAAACAAGAGCATTTGTTGAACAAAACATAAATTATGTAAGCGCATGTATAGATCACTGCCACGCTGTTTGTATTATATGTGGTTAATTAGAATTACGTCGATATAAATTGTACTTATTTATTTGTGATAAATTATTGTACGGCGAGCGTCCGCTCTTGTTACGGGGTGAAAGAGTCTATTATTGTTCGCGAAACGTGTCCGCAATAGCTATACTGCCAGACGGTAATGCCTTCATTGTACAAACAGTGAAACACCAAACAAGTTTTCCAATTTTGTGCGACCATAGTGTAATAGACGATGGCCAGAATTGTTGCACGGATGTCGCGCGGCCGACGCGGCGTCGCGTGGTCGCGCGGTCGCGCGGCAAGCAGTCGCCGAGTCGCGCGACACGCGGACCCCGGGCACGGTGTCGAATAATAACTATCGATACTTAATAGTATTTAAGTAAAATTTCGTTACATTTTACACATCATATTTACGTTAATTCAATTATTGCATACTCAAAATATCTGGTGGCCTAAAAACCAGTGTCAAATTTGAAAATATTAGCTACTTGTTATATTGATACTTAGTACTAGATACTTTTCAATACCTGCGAAGAAGTATACGAGTAAAAGTATCGAGTACGAAAGTATCGATATTGATAGTATATACGAAGTAGTATCGATATTTTGCCGTGTCCGTGTAGGAGTTGCCGCGTGGTCGCGCGACGCAGCGACGGCGGCGGCCGCCAGCTCGCGAACAGCGCGCGATCTCGTTAATTACGTGCGTGATGTTGAATAGTTTCCACTTTTGTAAAAAGTCGTGAGGAGATGAATTGTCGTAAATATTAATTTAAAAAATTATCTGTACAGTTCTATTTGTATAGAAATAATAAATAATGATTAAAAAATTTTAAATACGCTGTGTTTTCTATTGCGATTAAGTGATCAACGCACTCGAAGACGTTCAATGGTTACTTACTAAAAAGATGAACCATGTTTCCCCTATTTCCCCTTTACGCTTGAAATTAAAATTTTGAGAATTCCTTCCGCAAAGTTTTTCTGCTGTTTTCAATATAATTTAGGATCTAAATTATAGTGAATCGGCATCAAAATTTGTTGCGTTGTTAAAGAAGCAGAGAAACAGAAAGATTAGGATGATATGGAAATTAGTCCACAAGAATGGCAACGCATGAATATGCTATAATAATAATATATAGCCCTTTGTTCCGAAAGTTGGGTTACATTTTGATGTTTACAAAATATCCCGCAACTCGTTGCCTTTTGGCATAGGCCTCCTCCAGCTCTCTCCACTGAACTCTTGTCTTCCGCAACCCTGTTCCAGAACGGTGCCAGAATCAGGTTGATGTCATCTTTCCAGCATGTTCTTTGGCGACCCTGTCTTCTGATCCCGTCTCTAGGATACCAGAGAGTCACTTGCTGCATTTATTTGTTTATGCATATGAATATGCTATAAGCAACTTGGAAAATTGCTTATAGCATATTCAAATTTACAGGAACCGAGTCTAACAACTTACTACTAATTTAGAAATAAAACACTAAATATAATTAAAATTTTCATTATCGCTTTCTCTTTTTGGCCGCGTGTTTGTTGGGTTTGCCCTTGATGCGTCGTCTCACTCCGGCCGCTTCCTCCGTGTCGTCGTCGGAGTCCCCGCCGCCGCCCCGTTTCTTGCCCTTTATATTTTTCTTGTCAGTTAACTCTTTCATCTCCTACGAAATAAATACTATTTCAATTTATGATCTTAGAGAAGTAGTCTTATTTTTTTTATATTTAATTATTAAAGCATATTCAATATCTATATAAATAGATTGATTTGTGATAGATTGATGTAAAAAAAATGTAATCAAATAAAGAACCCATTTAGACGCCAGCAGTAGAGCCCTCAGATTGATCCCCATTCAATGCAAAGGGGAATCGAAATTACGAACCCCTATCGGTGGACTCATACAAGTCGTTTCCGGCCCTTAGTACAATCTTGACAAATTGACAATTGGAAAAGTTAGGTTAGTCGGGACAACACAAATAACTGGTAAGAAATGCTCCTCTAACTAAATTTTTATTCAAAGGTCTTACGTAAAATTTATGCCGAAAAGTTTTAAGGATTGAGCATAAGAGTAGTCCGAAGAAAAAGGCCGTAGTAGAGATAAGTACTTACAATGTTTGTTAACCGCTGCGCCTCCGCGACGCGCTCTTGCAGCACCATCACTTCGCTCTCGTCTGTCTTGTATAGCGGCAATTGCTTGCCAATCAACTGCTCGATACGCTGGTACAGCTCCACGTCGTACTGTATCAATTATTGTTACATACATCATACATATATACAAAATCCATATAAATGCAAAAGCGTCGTATCTTTCTGTTACCATTTCACTACTAAACGGTTCAATACTCGTAGCTGTCTTTACACGTACGCTCTTTAACGCGGGAATAAGCTTTCACACAGGAAGCAATGTGCATGTAAATGTAGACAAAGAAAACAAGAAAGACACGCACATTCACACGTTCTTCAATCGTGAGTGCTTTAGCGTCTTTTTATAATAATTAATTATCATTGCAAAATGGAGCACATACATAATTATAGTTATTGTTAATTTATAAATCTTAAACGTGTCTTTGGAAAATAAAATCTATGGAATGTAAAAAATAAAATTTTAAAAGAAAGTGAAATGATTACAATAAATAGTAAAATGGAATTACACACGATTGTGCGCGCTGACTTTCCCGCGCAACCAAAATCGCGCGTTAAAGAATGTGTCGTGTATAAGCAGCGTATAGATGTTAATTTAATCTTTGGGTAAGAATATCCTGCATCACGACGAGGTCACCATTTATATTTTTAAATTGTAATATATTTAAAATATGCGTACTCATAAATTGGGACAATTGAACTATTGCCAGTAAAAACATTTATTCATAATTTAAGAGCCACACTCTTGTCTTGCCACTTTCCTTCTATCATGCTCTTTAAATGTTGATACGACACGACTACAATTTTATCTTTAATTTATTGATGTATCTTTGTCTTTCCCTCCCCCTCTTTTGTTGTTTTCCCCTCAATAATATTATTCATGAACTCATCGTGCCGTATCAAGTGTGTCTGTACATATTTCCATTATCTGTTTTCTGCAAGTAAATTAATTTAATTTCATTACTAAAATACCTGTGAGACAAATGTGATGGATTTTCCCGCGCGGCCGGCGCGTGCCGTTCTTCCCACGCGGTGGATGTAGTCCTTGCTGTGCAGGGGAATGTCCAGGTTGATCACAACGTCCACGTGAGGTATGTCCAGACCTCTGTACATTGAGAGAGATATATTAACAAAATTATTAGTAGTAGTGGTAGAAAGTCGCCATAATTAATTTCAATGAATTATGGTTCTAATTCAAATTACTTCTTTTAATATTGAGATTTTATATTTGTATATTGAGCGAGCAGTATATAAAAAATAACTTATTAATATTGAATTTATTATGGTTATGTATGACAGTAGACAAATAATATTAATATCCTCAATTTGACTACATACTTTAACAATAAATAAAATACATATGCGTGCAAATTTATAGTAGTGTGTGTAATGTTTTTTTATTGATATAATGTATTTCTATGCAAAATTGAAAAAAAAATTGCATTCGGCGCGCCTTCTCTATATAAACTACTAGCTGACCAGCATAACTTCGTCTGCATCACACTTACTTGACATTTATCATTATATTTCACCCGATTTACATAATATCTTTTTAAATTATAGTCTACGCGTTATTTTGATGTAGCTATAGTACTGTAGTTTCATCAAAATTTATTCAGTTGTTATTGCGCGAAAGAGTAAAAGACATCCCTCCATACTCACAAACTTTGGCGTTTATAATATTAATAACATAGGTGTTCGAAATTTCATATTAATAATTCCCGTCGGCATAATTTTCGTAAAAAGTGGTACAAAGTTTTTGCTTCACGTATTAACATAATGATTATTATAATCACCTGGAAGCCACGTCCGTACAGATGAGTAGAGATCTGCTCTTATTCTTGAACTTGTTGAGTGCAGCCAGCCGCTTGTTCTGCGACATTTGCCCGTGGAGTGGCACTGCAGGCAGCCCGAGCTGACGCAGCAGCAGCGCGCAGCGGAGTGCGTTCGCGCACGTCGCCACGAACACGATGAACGAATTACCGGCCATCTCGTTTAGTATATGCACCAGGTATACGTCCTGTTGGGACACAATATTGTACTTCTTTATTACATATGTTATCTCTATTTCGCCTGTTTCTAGCATACGCAGCTCGCTCTGTTTACAGACCAATACAAAGAATTATACTCATTAATAAAACTTTAGACTGCGACTCTCATTACCATTTACGAACCGATTGGATTATATCTGACTGACAGATATACTAGAAACAAAAAAAAAATTATAACTTTGTACCATGCGAGGAATCGAAACCGTAATTATCAGAAATAAAGTAGTGTGCTAAACCACTATACCACAGATCGTAATTTCAATTAAACTATGACATACCTTGTACTTTACAGGTATAAAAACGTAGTACTGCTGAAGCTTATCCACTGTCTGATATTTAGTGGAGACCTCCACTTTGACCGGGTCCTGGAGGGACGCTCGCTGCAGCTTTTGTACTTTCTTCGTCATGGTTGCGGAGAACAAGTAGGTGCGGCGCTCCCGAGGTATCACACGCAGGATCTTATCCACCTCCACTTCAAAGTCCATGTTTAGTATACGGTCAGCTTCATCCATCACCTTTACATACACAGATAAGAAATTAAAAATTAAATGATTATCGTTTTGAAGTCATCTGTAAATTAGATAACACATGTAGGGTACACAAAATGTGACATTATATTGCAAAGTAGTCAAAAGTTTGATTAAAATAACACTTAAGATGTTTAAAAGAATATTATTAAATTATTAAGTAAATATTTCTGTTAGATTGTGTAATTATGTGTCAATTAATAAAGGCTTTGAATTGAATAGAATATTACCACAGTATACCACGCACGGAATCAATGGCGACAGCTGATCAACAAGATAGTATAGAGTCGCAATCCTCAGCAGTGAGGGTTAAATAAATAAATATTTTGTACTTGCCAGATATTTCAGTGCTTTCAAATTAAATCCCTTTGTATTCTCAAGATGGTCCACCAATCTTCCTGGGGTTGCAATGATGATGTGAGGTTTCTTAGACAATGTGAGAGCCTGTGCAACCATATCCATTCCACCCACTATGACTGCACATTTCACTCCTATGCTGGCTCCTGCAAAAATAGATATATATACTTTTTTCCACTTTGAATTACAGTAACAATTTTAATTATGGATGATTAGAGCAAAGGTGGACTTCTCCCTAAAAGAGATCTCTACCAGTCAATCGACACAACCTAGCATAGCTAGCAGTGAGTGGGTAACACTGGTGTAGTTGCACTAGTGTTACGCACTCACTGCTAGCTATACAGTAGAATGTTTAAATGTACAAATTTAAAATTATTTATATAAAATTCAACAAATTTAACATACATTATAATATATTATTCTAAAATAAACTTTCTGATGATATCCAAGATAAATGAGTCTATAAAAGGTATTTTTTACTTAAATGTTACAGGTGGTTCACAAATTTATATACAATGTCTAAAATTTTAGTTTAAATAAAATGTGTAAATGAACATAAATACACACACTACATGTCAATAGTCTACTTATAAAAAGGATAAAAAAGCAAATATAATGGAAACATATATTATTATGTATTTAACTATTTAAATTTAATCTTACTTCGCTGTTGGGATCATTATATTATCTTTTATTGTATGCGTTCTATACAACAACAATGGTATGCTTGTACCAAATCTGTCAATGTTAAAAGAAGTGAAGTTTTTATAATTCTTACCTAGTGCTTCAAATTGTTCCGATATTTGAAATGCCAACTCTCTAGTAGGTGTCAGGATAAGTGCAAAGTATCTCTGTGGGCTCTCCAATAGTGCTTGTAGAATCGGCAACGCGAATGCCCCTGTTTTCCCTGAACCCGTCTCTGCTAAGCCAATTATATCTTTGCCCTGTAATGCTACTGGTATTGCCTCCTTTTGGATTTTTGATGGATTCTTCCATTTTAATTCTTGACAGGCTTCACATAGTACATCAACGACTCCCTGAAATCAATTAAGAGGGGTAAGACGATTTTTTTGTATGTATGAGAAAATATAACCTATAAACTTTCTCGATCATCTTTAAAAACGCAATTATAACATAATTATATTATTTTATAGTGTGTATGTTGTCCATTAAAAAGATAACAATACTATATTTATAGAGTATCAAAGGAAATAAAAAGAAAACTTGTACTGTATTGATTCGAATGACTAACCAAGTCTTTAAAAGATACTGCTGTTTCTTCATTATTTTCATTCACTGGCTCCGACTCTTGTTCTTGTTCTTCTTCATTATGGCTTTCATCACTATTCTCGTTTTCTTCCGTCATATTAATAATTAATACGTTTTTGTTGAGATAAACTTTGAGGCAACATGTGTTATTTATGCAATATAAACTTATAACTTTAAAAACTATGACAAGTAGAATGATGATGCTGTTGACAGTTAGATTGATAGTAATTAATTTTTACATTTTACGGCTCGGGCATACTCACCGTCAAATAAAAAAATTCCGGATATTCTCCTCCTTGTTATTTTATAATATTTTATTTCATTAGCAGCGATGATGTCTGTTCATAATTATTAAGAAAATATATATATACTATATTTTACCCGCAATTTTTTAATTGCTACACTTTCAGTAATCTAAAAATTTTATCTGTCAACACCACATCGCAGTCGTAAATAGCATTGCCTCAAGTTTTTGCAAACTAAACATTTAGGTTATATTATACCGCCTAATTGTAATAGTATTATTTTTAAGTTTCAATTTATTATAGTAAATTAATAGTGTAAAGGCAGGTAGGGTATATTTGTATACAAACAACAGGGGTTCCCTTTAGAATATGGCTAAGCATCATCCAGATCTTATTTTCTGTAGAAAACAGCCAGGCGTAGGTAATGAATATTGTTTTTTTTTAATTATCTCATCTTATTAATTAACCATAATAAATAATGTATTCCTAATTTATTTTATTCTATAGCTATTGGTCGTCTGTGCGAGAAATGTGATGGTAAATGCGTAATTTGCGATTCATACGTACGACCATGTACATTGGTGCGAATATGCGATGAGTGTAATTACGGCTCCTACCAAGGGAGATGTGTTATTTGCGGCGGTCCTGGAGTATCCGACGCATATTACTGCAAAGAATGCACCATTCAGGAGAAAGACGTAAGTATATACACTGAGTTCAAACCACCAAAGAACAGTATTCAAAGATAAAATTAAATATGGAATATCGGGAACTATTTACTAAAACTGCTGAAATTGTCCCGTTTATATGTGCGTTTACAAAAGCCATTTCATAAATAGAATCCTCTCAGTCAGTAATATCGTTTTTTTTACATTTCTGATAAAAGACAACAAACATCCATCTATCTATTCCTAGATACTCACAAACTTTCGTGTTTATAATATTAAAAACATAAAAGAAAAATACAGAGGAAAACAAACAATCACATTACAATAATTTAATTTCAGTAGTAGAATCAAACCTGAATTGGTTTTGATTTAATGGGATTGAAATGTTGTTTGTTTGTTTGTTTGTTTAATAAAAGTCCCAAAATCTATTTAGATAATAAAAAAACATGTAATATAGTATTATGTAGCAGTAAACACTGTTTTCTTATTTCACATTTCTTGTTACTTGTTACTATCATCTGATTGAGTGCTAAATTGGACCAGTTTAGCACAGCACTGGTTACCCTCAAGACGCCTGAGCTCGAGTAAACATATGTTATCAAAATAGTTTATAATCCACATTCAGATTTGGTTTGTACAAAAACAAAATATACTACATTCAGTTTGCATCTTTGTTCAAGTCACTGGAATGTGTGCTCATCTCCATTTCAAATACTTATGTATGTGCTTTAAAGATGATTATTTAAGACATTGGAATGACAAGGTGCAAGGAAATAGAAATAATCTTTATTCAAATAAACTCATTAAAGCGTTTTTTGAATAGTCATATAGGTAATAGGATAAATAGACTTTAATCTACATTTGACATTTTAACATACAGAAATAAATAAAATATTTAAAAAAAGAACAACACATTTTTTGTACAACATATAATTTTTTTTTTCATATTAATGTAATGATTTTTTTTCAGAGAGATGGCTGTCCAAAGATTGTGAACTTAGGCAGTTCAAAGACTGATCTGTTCTATGAACGGAAGAAATATGGATTTAGAAGACATTAGCTATAGACATACATTTTTAGTTTTAAGTTATTTTTTATAAGAAATTTGATTGGGTCCAAGGAAACATTTGAAACTGCTTTAGTTCACTTGAAATAGTACATAATTTGAGGGTTCATTTAAAGTCAACTATCATCTATATAATAATATTAATAACACATACTGTTTGTATGTGTGAGGGATTAAGTGCTATTCCAATTACAAAAAAAAATAGGATTATTTGACATGTTACAAAATGTGTTACACTCGAGAATAGTAATGCTATTCTTGACTGTTATGATGTCTTCTTGTTTTTTTATACGATGAAGGTACCAGTCAAGCACATGACCCATCTGGTAAATCATTAACCATAGCCTATGGACACCAGTTTAGATTTCAAGATTAAAAAGTACAGGCATTGTTGCTAAATAACAGAAATGGGTAGGATTAATTTCTTGTCCAAGTTAATTTAAAATAATATATGTAACATGTAAAATATAATATGTACATGTATAATCTCACGAGTTAAATTGACTTAAGTAAAAATATACATCATTTACTTTCTGAAAAATTAAAAGTAGTTCTGGATTTACTATTATTTCATGAACTAAAATTAATACCATTGTCTTGTAACCTTAAAACTTGTTAATTATAATTTTTAAGTATAACAATTGAAATGTATAAAAAAAATTGCTTATACTATAGATTGTTCCTATTATTGTGTATCAACGAAACATTATTAGTTGGTGTATTTTATACTGTCTATAGTACAAAATGATAATTTTATATTTGTACATAAATCAGTTGTAATTCTTAAACCAAATTGATGAGAACTTTTTGTAATATTAAAGGTTTACACTGATTTTTCTAGTCCCAGGAGGATGTAGCAGCTGTAGCCTACTACATTAAAAAATATTGGATTCAGATATATTAGATCTGGTAATAATATTATTTTCCTATATATATTGTAATTAGTATAAAAATAAACATTACCTTGGTATGTTGGATATTGTAGTTTTTTAGGTGGTACCTAAAGATCAGGGGTTAGGAACGAGGGTGTTAAGAGAGTCACACTCAGTTGCACAGTATCTGGCTATACATGTGACTGTTAGCCTTGTTTGAAAGTGAAAACATGATATTTTGTAAACTGTTATTAATCCTTTTAATATTTTACGCTCTCTAACACCTGTTACTGTTTTTTTTTGAGTGTACGATCAGTGTATTTACCTAGTGCAGTAATAAATAGAAGTACCTATAAAGCGGTTTTATTAAATCATCCCCAAAAACGCGATACAGTCATACTGTTAATTTTTTTTTCTTTTAATAATCGTGGACAATACACAGCGCCATCTATTGTTATGTTCAGCGGCGCTTGTGTTGTGAGTATGAGACAAAATATAAATAATGAATATATTTTTTTAAATAACGTTACACCCAGAAGAATACAAGCAATCATGCTTATGATTTTATGTTTGTGTACGGTTTAGAATACCGAGGTCGTCAATAGTATTGTGTAATCGAACCCGCTGGGGGGAAGGGGATTGTTAGTAATGTGGACTAATGACCCCATTGCTAGCAATGTACCATGTCAGATCGACCTCCACACGGTTCCCCCTGGAAACCATCATGATACATTCCCGGTAAATTTGTCACGTTGGGCTAGCTGATCTGACTTCATGTTCCTCCTATCATCCTCCACTGGTGCCCCGCCAGCGTAGGTGAGTGCACCATTCCATTATAATCCTTTAAAAAAAAATCGAACCCGCTACCAACATGATAACTTCCATAGGAGTAAGTCTCAAAATTTCAATTTCGTCTATTAAAAATAAATTTTTATTTTATAACACTAAACTTATCATTTACATTTTTAAATATGTCTAAAATAATAAATCAACAAACACAAGTATATCAAAATATTCTCCGGTTTACTTAAAAGCGCTACATTTTATTTTAATCTGTCAACACCGATTTATTATCTACAACTTCCATAGTTGTCTGTGCTACTACTGCATTATTGACTTTCATTCATTCATCTTCAATATTTCATTCATAATAATATTGTGACGTTACCTTAATTTGTTTTAAGCAGTTTCATTTTATTTATTTTGTTTTTAAGTTTCAAAATATCATAAGTAGTGCAGGTTGTTTTGTGAGTCTACATTTGTATACAGTGCACTAGAAAATGGCTAGACATCATCCAGATCTCATTTTCTGCAGGAAACAACCAGGCGTAGGTAAATAATTTTTTTTTCAATCGTTTTATCTTTGTAATTAATCGGTATAACCAACCCGTACTATTGATATAAACTTTGTATAAAGTAATTTCAGTGGGTGACCTCTATTCTACATATCTGAGCAGCCAAGCAGCTTGCTCTGTAACCTGTTTCGGTTTGAGGGTGAAATTTACCAGTGAAGTTACAGGGTACAGAAGGGCATGATATCGTAGCCCTTCGGAATGGCAATCAATGCCATGTAACATCTGTGGTCCTGTTTATGTATATAGATGACGGTTCGTTTAGACAACTGATATAAATACATAGATATGTTATTTTATAAATACATACTTAATATACATACACTCAGACTGTTGCAAACAATCATACTCATGAATACAAATGTTTGTACCATATGAGGAAACAAACCAGCGACCATCGGATGTAAAGGGGTGTGCTAAACTGCTAGATCACCAATGCTGTTAATGTATATCTAAAAAATTTGTATGTCAAAAAAAATACAACTAAAATACTTATCAGCTATGTTTTTTTCAGCTGTGGGCCGTGTCTGCGAGAAATGCGATGGTAGATGTGTAATATGTGACTCATTTGTGCGACCTTGCACCCTGGTGCGGATATGCGATGAGTGTAATTACGGCTCTTACCAAGGGAGATGTGTCACATGTGGTGGCCCTGGTATATCGGATGCATATTACTGCAAGGGATGTACTATTCAGGAGAAAGATGTGAGTATTAATACAGAGATGATAAACTTCACTTAACATAATAATATTGACTTCACAATTCAACAAGCACCATCTCGTCCCAAGCTAAGCAGAGCTTGTGTTATAAGTATGAAACAATTGATAGATATTTCTTGTAAATATAGACATAATATGTATAGTGTACACTCAGATTAATACAAATAATAATACTCATGAATATAAATATTTGTACTATATAAGGAATAAACCTGCAACCATCGGAAGTAAGGAAATATGCTAAACTGCTAGACCATAGGCTGTCAATATAATACTAATATTAATATAATACAATTACCTTAAAAAAATATTTTTAAGGTAATTGGAATGGTTAAGTAGATATGGACTCTCCTGACAAATGCCAATAGTTGCTTATATACCGCAAACAATACCCCAAACATTACACCATTATGTGACATCTGAAGTACCCCTTGTGTGTTGCCTATACAGAGAATCGAGATGTCATGTCTCTATACCCTATATTATCAGTAATTTACTAGTTACAATGGCTTGCATATTGTCAAAAGATTGTTGCATAATAATATGATATTATATTTTTTTTAATATTATGGGGTAACTTTATGAAGAGGCTTTTTCATATGATTAAGCAATATTAAATTGTTTAATAATAAGCAATGAAACTATGAAATAATACAATTAAGATTTATTCTATTCTATTGTACTTTATCAATCATACTTCAATAGAGAATCTATTAAAAAATGTATTAAGTATTGTAAAATATGTTCGCAAATGTTATGTAAATTAAACTGATATAACAATGTTGACAAGAACAAAAGAATTAAGATTTCTCTGAACTCTAACGATGAGTTTCAATATATATACCCAAATATATAGTTTGGTAGAGCTATAGAATAGAATTTGATAACTGAGTATTTTAATTTGCTCAAGTTCTCATCATCATCATCACCATCATAATTATCATCATCATCATCGTCATCACCATCATTTCAGCCCAGAAGACATCCACTTAAGTCCTCACATTACTTTAAAGAGAACAACTGTCTCAAAGCAAATAATATCCACTATGATTCTATATTGACTCAAAACAAATCAAATCAAAATATCTATATTCATGTAGGTATATTACAAACTACATTTTATGATTCCTTAACAGATTATTTTATATGTTTATATTAATTGTTTCAGAGAGATGGCTGTCCGAAGATTGTTAATTTGGGCAGTTCAAAGACTGATCTGTTCTATGAACGGAAGAAATATGGATTTAAGAAACATTAGCAGAAATAATTCATTTTAGTTATAAATGTTATTATTAATTGTAAGTTATTTTTTATTTTTGACAGGGTCCAAGTAAAGTACAACTTGAACACTATTTTAGTGTTTTTAGAGAATTTTAACTCTCACATGATAAAAACTGACAAATGTTACCTATAGAACTAATATCATAAAAATAACAAAGTCCTCTGACGCCCATGGCACCACATTCTAATGATACATCATAACCACCAGACATAATGAGCAAAATCTAATGCTTCTTATTTCTTTTGACTTAATTCATTCTTGGTAGATTCAACTAAAAGAAAATGACAGGATATTCACAAAGAGAAAATATGACAAAACTATATAATAGCTAATATAGACTTAAATAAGATGTTTGGTAAAAAAAAATATAAATCAAGGGTTATTTGTTTTTTTAGATTCAAATCTATATAATAATATAAACATTGTTTAATTAAAAAAGAAATACATACAATGTATATATTACATTGTATGTATTTCTTTTTTAGTTTGTAAGTTATCAAAACTGCCTACTACACGAAAAATACAAATAAGTTTTTATTCATATTTCACACTGACTCTCTCTGGAATATCTTTAAGAAGAAAACTGCTTGAATGGCTAGTTTAAAATGATTCTAAGGTGTTTGCTCGAAATTGTGGGAATTTATTAAAATGTACCTGTTGACGTATTATAGATAATAATGTAAACTGATTACAAAGCGTCCGTTATTAACTTTAAATTATAATGTATTTAAAATAAATTTTAACATAGTACATATAATATAAGTGAATATATGGTAGTAATATTAAAAACATAATATCAACAATAGAATAAAATAAATTTATTAGTTAATTTATACGTAACAATGTTAATATTTGTAACATGTTGTGTTGAAGATGTGGAGTGCCACAAGGCAGTTACCTAGGACCTGTCTTGTTCTTTTACATATAATGTTACGGTAATATTTACAATTACATTTACTAGATAGAGGGAAGTATTTATTTTCCAATGACTGCAAACATCAATTTAATTCTGATGACGGTGATATAGTGGGTTTTAATAAACATATCAGAAATAAGAATAAATTACAGAAAGTCATAAAAGTTGTCGTAGTTTCAGCACTGAATAATTGTGATCTTAATTGTGATGTGAATTAAAAATAATATAAATCCATTAAGTAGTATTATGAATGCCTCGTCCAATAAATAAGATATATGAATTGAAATAACACGAAGTATATATTTTTCTATTTTAAATGTACTTGTTGATTATAATTGAATGTCTAAATATAATTTGCAATATTATTGTCAATACTGTTTAATGCAAATAAATGTTATTTCATTAAAAATATTATTTTAGTTTACATTATGAATTACTTATAATATATAGTTTATACACATTCCTATGTATACATACGTAGGAATGTTTATAAACTATAATGCGCCGTTTACTAATTTTCAATTTGCCTTATGGTTGACTGGTGGAGAACGCCCTTAGGTGTTAACTTCGCCATATGTACATTTATGTCTTATATTTGTGCATTAAAGTTTAAATAAATAGGTATATTGAGACTATATGTATATATTGTTTAAAACAACTTCATAAAAATACTTTGGATCGCTCTATATAGTATTAAAAGTCTACACGTACATAATTTTGTTGGCAGAGGATATAATAGTCAAAGAGTGAAAGAGGCATACAAATATTTGTAGTGTGCTCCGAATCCGTGACCATTGGAAGGCAAAATAGCTTATTTTTTTTAAGAAAATTGCGGACGGAGGAGTATGTGATTTCGGACACTTATAGTTTATATGGCGAAGGAGTGCAGAATGCAAATATTTTATAATAAATACATTAAATTAATAAAAAAAAATATTACACACACAGTGTAGGACGCCCCGAAGTTAGGTTGCGCGATGACATACGTAGGGTTGCGGATAGTAACTGGATGAGAAGGGCTGAAGATCGTGCCCAGTGGCATGCCTTGGGAGAGGCCTATGTCCAGCAGTGGACTGCAGTGGGCTGATGATGATTACACACTGACCACCATTTTTATGACGTGTGGAAAAATCTTCACGAATCGTTCCGACGTCGTCGCATGTCGGAGCAATGGGGTAACGGGTGTGTCAGATTCTTACAATAAAACTACATGAAGTTCATACAATCCTATGACGATGTCGCGGGGTCACCTTAGACGACCATTGACGCAAGAAATGGGAATATCTATACGGAAGATGGACAATGGGTAAGTTCTACGTTGAGTATAAATAAAATAATGAATAACCTCTTAACTACACTCATATTTATTTAATTTCACATTTTTAAATTCTATGACTATACAAAAAATAAATAATTTTATATAAAGATATCTATGTATATATAGTATAACTAGTTTACTTAGGAAATGCAATAGTAAATATCTACAATATTAAATTACTAGGAAAATAATATTATTGTCACAAAATTTCTAATTACATTAATCTATATGATCTATATGAATGCAATATTTACAATTTATTTAAATTGTGCTATTTTACATACTTATTTCGATTTCCTTTTTGTAAAGTAATACATACATTCGTATTATATAAGAATGTTGCAAAGAAATATAAGAAAAATATGATATATATATTTCATTTTCAAATAATGCTGTCATGACAAGCTGTCATGCAATGGCAACATTCCCGTCATATCACTGGCATTACAAGCATTCATACCCTGCAACCACTTACCATCAGGAGATTATATTATATTTTCTTAGAAATTTGACCAATTCATGATTTTAAATTTCCGACGTTAATAATTTGAATTGATGTAGAAGTGTTCGAGATCATTGTAGATAAGAGATGTTGGTTCTAGCTGTCCCTACTGGCGTTGCTGCTGGCCGTCGACGCGGCAGGATTGGTCCAAATGTTGGCCTCGCTAGAACTGGCCTCGGAGTATGCCGGCCGAGCGGGAATTATTGGTGATCTAATACAAACACTGTAAATTGAAGTCAATTTAGCCTAACACTTAATATTGCATATAAAATTAAATACCTCTTGGACTTATATTATCAAATCAATATATATTATATTTTATTGTTTATGTAATTATATATATCTTTAAAATAGCAAATTCTCAAAAACAATTCCAAAGAAAATTGTTCAAATTAATAAGCGTCATCCTGTATCATAATCTTAAATCCAAGATGGCGGATATTCGTCATTAAAAAGATATGATATATTAGTAAATATAATTATATTTCGATAATTTAGTAATTAAAATTTATAAAATATAAGCTAGTTATGTATACAATAATTTATTTAATTATATAATTGTAATTAAATCAATTATTGCATTAAGAGTATTATTAATTTATTACTACACCCCTATCTAGTCATAAATTCTGTAAATAATAAAGTATGAGAAATTCTATAGGCGACTAGTGGCCATATTGGCTGCAGTGTTTTATGTCCGGTCGTCTTCCATGTGACCCCATTGTTCGCAATGAGTTGACTGACTTGGACCTATCTCTACTAGTGCAATATAAAAAACTTGACAATTTATTGTAAACTTTGTTATAATAACAAAATTTACAATAAATTAATATCTAACAGATTTTTTTTACTGGCATGATTCGGTCCAAATATATGACGGAACCCCGCCACCAGATACTGTATGCCAACCAATTACCCCTAAACTACCAATATGCAAGTATAAAATAACACTTTAATCTTGGTATTACCTTAGCGTCTCTGTAATATAGCGGCATTATATTTTTAGCGACATTAATAAATACAGAACTATTTTCTTCATAATATCAGAAAATAAAAGATATAAAAATAGGTATATCTATTATTCTAATTCACACGTGAATCTTAGTGCTTTTTATTATTAAAGTATTTATATATATAAAAGCTAATATATAAATCCATCTGAGCATAATTTATTATACACATTAATTCTGTTTACAAAAGACTATTGTTATACTACGTAGGTACTATATTTCGAACGTTAAGTAGATACCTAATACAATTATATCTAAATACAAGCTAGGCTAAGTTAGTCCTTATAACATTATCTATCTGCGAGAGAAAGTCCGTACAAATCGGTCCAGCCGTTTCCGAGATTAGCAAGAGCAAATGGATAACAGTTTTTTTAAATTAAAATAAAAAAAACTGTTAATTTGAAATTACAAACGGACATTTCAATTTTATTATATTTTATTTATTTGAACAGATTAATATGTTACAGACTGTATTTATGATTAGGTAAAAAAAAATTGTGCGTCCATAAATATTTAAATTATACAATCAATTGGATTGTACCTTTTTTCCTGATAAATAGTGACCTTACAGTAATAATAACCCCAAATAATTAACAAAGAGCCATCAAGTCCCAAGTTAAGCAAAACTTTGAGTAAAGGATACAAGACAACTCTTATAAATACTTAATATTTTTTGGTAAACATACATTATAGACATAGAAAACATCCAGCCAATACAAATAATGGTACTCATGAAAACAAATGTTGTGTGCCGTGCGAGGACTCGAACCCACGACCATCGGAAAGTAAGGTCGACTATTAACCGAGTTAATTAGTTAATTACTCCTAGAGATCGATTTAATTACTTAAATTCGCAGTAACGGGCTACCAGAAATAATTTAAGAAATTCTGCTCAAATGGATTAATATGAGAATTAAATTGAACTTGCATGTTCAAGAGATCATTTATTGAAACTTATTTATTTCCATAGCATGTGGTTTGTGATAATCATGCAGCGTTCAGCAATGATGCTGTGCCACTGACCTCCGTGTCTTAGAATATCAGCTCAGTCCAAACATTGTCCTACGAACAGCACCAAATTATATATTAATTTAGCACCTACTGGGAATGACACCCCGCTAACGTTAACCGTTAGCGAAGGATGCACTATACCATTATCATCCATATTAAAAAACTGTGAATCACAAAGTCCCCGTTGGAGAGTAGTAGTCGTAGCATGTATACATACACTATATTGTATATTACTTAATATATGTTTATGTAAATCCTCATATATATTACCTGTAGTTATATGTTATGCATCTTGTATTAAATACTGCACTATTTGCTAAATATTTTTAATACTTACATATGTTTATTTTGAACTATTATTATTTATTATAATTATGTAATTTAAAGAATTTACTATGTTTTCATCTGTCGGACAGTTATTTCGATATTTAATAGATATATATTATTTTGTTTAATTACTCTACCCACAAATATTTAGAGCGGAAACCTGATCACCGCTGCTGGAAGCGTTATCACCTTCTTTATTGAAGATCAAATTCCGATCGACATTGAGTTTACACCGGTATTGCGACGTGTTTCGCTTCTAAATGAGGCATTATCAGCCATTGAATAGAGTTCGGACATAGCTTGGAAGTCTAGTGTAGACTTTTAGGCGACTAAACTGCGGTTTTGACGAATTGTTTCGGCTTCACCCAGAAGACTTCTTTAGGATGAGTGCTGCTCGTCCTTAACAATTGTCGCGAGAGACGAAAATATAGCATATTTATTAATTTACCGTATACAATTATAAAATATTAAATGATATATTATAAAGTAGACTGACTACTGAAAGCGTATAATTTCATGATATGAATGTATAGGATGCTTATAAATATATAATTGAAGATATTCATTTTGAATTATTCCTAATTCGCCATGATTAACGTCAACATATGTTACCCGTGTTAGCAGGCGGGATAATCAATTCATAATGAACAAAAGCACATCATAGGTTTTACTTGTAACAATATTATTAGATGCGAAGATGCGAAATGTAGAAAAGAAGGATAGAATAACTTCACGCCGTAATATATATCACAATTTTGAAAAAAAGCTTGAGAAAGTGCTAGAAATATCCTCAGTTATGGTTAATATATATATATAACTACTTCAGAATTTCACGATGAGTCAAATCTTCGACTGTTATCTATTTTCATCCATTACAATTTTTGGACTTTAAATTTTGGACTAAACTCATTATTTTTTGGAAACATTAATATGTGCATTATTTGTTTAAATAGTGTAAAAACAAAGGCGAAACTTACGAATTGACATCTTCTAATTTCTTCAGCAGCCTCTCGTTCTCTCGACTTAATAACTCCTGGTCTTTCAGTAGTTGGTCCCTAACACCGAATAATTCAGAGTTTTCCGTTCTCAGCGCGGAGTTCTCTTCCATATGTAGTTGTACCAGGTCGACCAACTCCGATTGTGGCAGTTGATACAATTTGTTGGGTTCAATGCGGGTTGGAGTGCGATTTCGTTGATCTGAAGTAAATTCAATTGGTTTTAGTTCAGTTATTTGCGTATTTATATCAATTGTCTAGTACCCATAACATAAAGTCTGCTTAGCTCGGGACTAGACGGCGCTGTGTGAATTATTCAGGATTGTTATCGTTGTTTAAAAATTTACTAACTTTGTTGTTGAAAATAATAATATCTCAGGACAATAATAATAATAACATAGCGTCATCTAGTCCCAAGGTAAGCTTGTGTTATGGGTACTAGACAACAGATATAAATACATTGATACATAAAACACCCAGACCGATACAACCAATCGTACTCATGAATACAAATGTTTGTACTGTATTACGATTCGAACCCGAAACTATCGGAATTACAGCGGAGTGCTAAACTCCGCAGGACCATCGAGGCTGTCTAAAATACTCACTGTAATCAATGTTGTAATCAGTTTGTACATGTAACGCCGTCCTTAGGTGTTGATTCTCCGCCTGCAATGCTTCAACTTCTCTTTTCAGACTCATTATAAGAGCATCTCTTGCATCCTGGAACAAATAGAGTGTGGCAACTTCTTTTCCTTCTTTTAGAGTATTCCATGAATGACCGTGGAGTCGGGTCTATTGTGTAGCAGAGAGGGGAACTCCTAGCAGTTCCCGGGACTTGTGACCCAGGTGTATGTATATGGTCCCTTTGCCAATTTACGTCAACACTTCTCACCTCGTGGTTGACATTTGCCATCAAGTCTAGCTGACGTGATGGGAAGTGTCTCTTCTTTCAGACCTTCCTTTACTGACCTATATGTTGGTATAGGTAAAAATATAGATCCAATTTTAAATTCAATTAGGGATAATGTCTCCCTAATTGAATTCATCATTTGAAAAGAATAAGGGCTGAGTTTCTTGTCAGTTCTTCTTGGATCGAATGCACTCCGAACTGACTTACATGAATACCTAAAGATAATTTAATTTGATCCTTTCTTAATAACCTTTCAAAACTTCCTTTCAATGTACATTTCAAATATAGAGAACGTAAGAAAAGCTCACCATTTTCACAATAGGTTTTGATTTAATCTTTTTCGCCCGCGCGGCGTATCGCAGTGTGTTAATAGTTTCGCTAACATTTGATCTCGTGGGTGCTATACAGGCAATCTGTAAACAAATTAATTTGTAACCACCTTTAATGTTGTAGGTATTTCATAATTTCTATTAATCACGCAAATAAAACTGATTTAATAATCCTTTTACTTACTCTGATAACTGTATAACTAAATTTGAATATTAGAACGAGTTACAAATAATATAAAAAAATAAGTAATTTTAGGCATTTATCCCGGAAATGTCGTACTAGAATAATATTAAAACAATGAAATATCATTTTATCTCCAGGCAGCTATAACTTTAAACAAAAACTTTATTGTTTGTAAACTTATTTTGCAAAATTCTAAATAAATGTTTTTGTTTTATAATTTGGAAAGTCAAAGTAACGTAAAAGTAAATTTTAATAATAATAAAAATGAGATGATCCAAATGTCTATGTTAAAATTATTTATTCATATAGAACATGTTTGCGATCGCAAATAGCCATTTAATATATTTAAAAATAAAATTATCAAAATTCAAATTTGGAACGTCAGGCATAGAACATCGATGTTATTTTATATACATTTTGCACTTCCTCTCGAACATTCCGTGGCGTCACTAATAAATTCAGTATACAATATATTTATTTCAATAATACAACAAATTAAACATTGCAATATTCCTCCAGCAAACAGAACACTTTCATCGCTATCCCTACCGTCCAGTAGGTATGGACTACTAAAACACTTGGATATTTGAAAAATCCACGTTCCCTTGGATACTATGTTTGAGAACGTCATAGTAATTTCATCAAGAGAGATTAAAGATATGAGGCAAATTATTTAGAGATCATAAATTTATTGAATATAAAACGCACGTTGATAACCTTCTTTCACTGGGTGAATATAATAATTTTTTGAAACGGGTGTCTTCTTGTCAAATACTTTTGTAGTTAATGTATTATAAATCTATACACATAAATAAAATGGAGTATCTGTTTGTAATATAGAAATAATCGTTTTTTACTACATGCATATGAATATAAATACGGTACATACACCAAAATAACATTTTTTACAATTTTTGTCTGTCTGTCTGTGTGTCTGTTTGTTCCGGCTAAACTCTAAAAAGGCTGGACCGATTTTGACGGGACTTTTTTTTGCCTGTAGCTAATGTAATAAGGAGTAACTTAGGCACTTTTATTTTAGAAGCATAAAGTTAAATTCCACGCGGATGAAGTCGCGGGTACGACTAGTAACAAAATAAAATCATTCCTCCTTATAATTTAGATTGAGATAACTAAACTTAAGTTTGAGACACTCACCATCAAAGTGACCCCGTTACCAGCGAGACTGTCCGCCAACAGTTTGGTGAGCTTGCTGTCTCTGTATGGTATGTGGCCTCTCTTCTTGCCGTCACTTAGTTGCGCTATGCAGTATCCTGTGATGACAATCATTATATCTGAATAATATTCGATAAATTACTTGTACCAGACAACTGACAGAAATACTTAAAGTACATTTTCTGTGAATATACATAGAAAACACTTATGACTGATACAAACAATATTTGGATTTCCTGTGGGGAAAAAATTAGGGAAAAAATCCTTCATTTAGATCCGCTCGCCCCAGGGGTTGGACGAAGGAGTACTGTGAGGCTCATGAAGAACCCCAACGTTCCTTCGCCGAGTAGCGAAATCGGAACGCGGGATCACCGAAGCATTGACGGTCTCGGTGGTCTAGTGGTCACACCGCTTAACTGCCGATGGTCGCGGAATCGATTCCCCGCTGCGTACAACCATTTGTATTTGTAACCATATTATGCATTAAGTATTTCTATCAGTTGTCTAGTACAGGCCAGTTATCGTAATAAAACAAGTCAGTTATCGAATATTATTCAGATATTTAACACTTATATATGATTTCTTGGGTTTTTCTCGTAAAAAATCTGTAGCATTAAAACAGTTTCGGAACCTTTAAAAACGTTTTTAAAAAAATGACATGAACAACTCACCTAGCACCATAAGACTTCTATTAATATTATTCGCCTCTTCTAATGTCTTGCCGCTGCTCTGCGTCTTCTTGGTCATTTCGCTGCCTGCCAGGTCCACAAAATTGATTTTGCCGTGAGTGGAGCACGAGATGTCTGTGGTGGCGCGTAGGTCCCGCCGCACTCTGATGCAGAGGACGGTGTGCGAGCGGGAAGAGTTTGTGTTCATGGCATGGGACCCTACTGACCTATTGCGCATTCCTGTGAAGTGATAAATAAAAATAAATGTAAATTTCAACACATTTGCTCGTAAAATAGATCTAATTTCACTGATTTTAGATATATAAAGCAAGCTGCTTTATATATCATGACACGTGTTTTATAAGCTTATAAACACACGTGTAATAATTTTATTTTCACAACTTATTTCCACTCATGTGCAGGGGGCACATGAGTGGAAATAAGTTGTAACTTTATTTAATTTTTTTTTTTTTAAGTTTTGTGTTCTGAAAGATATTTAAACCTTCTATTCTTATATTTTCTCCCTTCATTGCTTATATCTTAATGGCATCATCATCATCATTGCCTTACTGTAACGTCGCTCTTTCTTTTCCACTGATCTCTATCAGCCGCCATATCTAATGTTACTCTTCTTTTATACATATCATCTTTCACACAATCCATCCATATTTTTTTATATGCCATTAATTCTTAATGACTTAAAATGTTATTCATCATCTTTTAGATTTACATCTAAACATAAAATAACCATCATATAGATATTTCATTATCTACAGTCAGCTTACCTTCTTCTAATACAGCAAAAAGATCGTCCAATTCTTCGCAGTCTACCATAAAAAGATTTTCAACATAAAAACTTCTACTCTCTTTAGACCAACGCACTTGGAGAGGCTTCCTAGCTGTGCCTGGGTTGAGAAGATCGATCACCTGTAATTGTAATTGAGTAATATTGCAAATTGTTTTTTTATAATATATTCACATGGTGCAACAATGTTTTAGGCATATGGATATTACGGGCTTTGGGAAAACTTCGTGTTCAATCCGTGTTATCAAAAATTCTATAATTTGTTACGTCTGTTATTTTTAATTGCTTATAGTAACTAAATTACTAATTGTCGTGGCTTATGATTTAACAGCTTGACTTATACCGAAATGTCGTGAGTTTGAATCTGCCAAACCAAAAAACTTTGTCTATTTATGTAATACGAGTGGACGCTCATCGTTCAAGAAAGCTTCGAAATTTGACTATAATAAAAAAATACAATCTTTGAAGCTAGATGTGTGTGTCAAATATTGTGTAATGTTTTTTTATTGATTTAAAATAATGTATTATTTATGCATCATAAAAAAATATATTCTGCACTCCTTCTCCATACAAACTAAAAGTGTGTTGAATTTCATACTCCTCGCACAATTTTCGTAAAAAGATGTACGAAGTTTTTGCTTCACGCATTAATATATAGATATATTTCTGACAGACTCCGGTGATGGAAACACTGACGATGATCTCGGTGGTCTAGCGGTCTAGCACACCGCTTTACGACCGATGGTCGCGGTTTCGATTCCTCGCACGGCATAAACATTTATATTCATGAGTATGATTGTTTGTATTGGTCTGGGTATATGTATATATTTACAAAAAAAAAAATCTATGTATTTGCATCAGTTATCTAGTACCCCTAGCTTAACTTGGGTCTAGATGGCGTGAGTTGTCCCGAGATTATAATTATTACTGACTACAAACAATGTGAGATTTCAATACGAAGGCACACTTATATTGTGGAATGAACTACCTGCCGAGGTTTTCTCGAGAGACTACAGCATGGGGGTTTTCAAGAAGGGTATATTAAGGTTTCTTAAGGGTCGGCAACGCGTATGTGACACCCCTGGTGTTTCAGGCGTCCATAGGCTACGGTAGCCGTTTACCATCAGATGGGCCGTATGCTTGTTTGCCACCTAAGTGGTATAAAAAAAATTAAAGAAAATAGAAATGACCTTACCTTCTCATTGTATATTTCTAAAAATGACGCCTTCAATATGAAATGACATTCCGGCCTCTCCTTTATCAGCTGGAACAGGTACACGAAAGAGCGCACCACCAGCCCGTGGTTTGGGGCATATGGACTCGCTCCACTTTCCACCTGCAGAACAGTATATAATTCTACATTTCTTTTATTTATACTTTATACTACGACGTTTTCAGACATTCTTACGGCCCTCTGATGGAAACGGACGTCTATAGACGCCTGATACACCAGGGAAGTGCTCTTTACTGACTCATAAGAGATCTTAAAATACCCTTCTTGAAAAATAGCTATAATCACTCGAGAAAACGTCGGCAGGCAGTTTACACCACAAGCTCCTCTGAAACTGTACAGGCCGAGACCACTTAGGTTCCAGAGTCTGTGGATGAATTCCCTGTCGATAGCGAGCGGTGAGATGGTCAAAGGTAGCCGTGGGCATCATGTCGAACAATTCATGGGAACACGGACTGTGTTAATTAAATAAGCATATACTCGAATATAGTAATCACATAATATAAAATGAAGTCCCAGTCGCTGTCTATCCCTATGTATGCTTACCTTACATAGGGACTTACCTAAACCTTTGAAACTATGCAATGGTTTTTTTAATAGATAGAGTGATTCAAGAGGAAAGTTTATTATAACACATGTATACCCGTGCGAAGCTGGGGCGAGTAGTAAATATATAAGTGCAAAAATGTAGGTACATATGATTTAAAGGAAACAATTGCTATTCTATTAATACTTCCACTGTGTCGATTTATGATTATTATAACGACATTGTCAGAAAATTTTACGTCACTCATTGTCTCAAAACAATAATGAAACTATAAATATATGTTTACATATTATAGGCGTGTAAATTCTGGAATAACTATATTACTATGTTTATGTATAGTTATCTGTCTGTAGATATAGATAGATAACTACAAAATGTTAATAGTCACGGCATGAGGGCATGCGACATTATGAATCGTGATGGTGTAAATGTTACACGCGGTCGATAAATATTTAGTTTCAAATCACATGCTTTTTAACTAGACCGTGGGGATTTCAATGTACATTCGTGTCGTGACAGACTAATCTAGAAATATTTGTATTGTTTATAACTTAACCATGTGGGCATATTTCGCGCGCTAATTAACTTTTTTTAGGAAAGGTTCAGGAATGTCTTCTATACAGCTAAAGTTTTAAGCATTTTTTGTTTTCATTAATAACAAGGTAGACCGACGATCTGGTCAAGATCGCTGGAAGGCATTGGATCCGAGCAGCGCAGGACTGATCGTCGAGATCTTTGAGGGAGGCCTTTTGTTCAGCAGTGGACGTCTTCCGGGCTGAGGTGATGATGATTATTCGAATAGAACATAATTTAGCTAAAGTTAATATGTATTTTGTGGGTAGTGCATTAAATTTTACCATATGACATGAAAATACTACTACAACAATACTTTGGATCTACCTTTTAATGAATTTATAAATAAAACTACTAAATAAATAATAAAACTTATAAATGTATAAGAAAAACTTATTTATAAATACTTATTAAATAGAAGAATACAACTTTGTAAACAATTATATACGAGATGAGTTTGGATGGCATTAATCATTCAGACATGGGTTATACTACTATACAAATAAATAAAATTGTATTGTGTCTGTGTGTAATTTAAAATTAACAGCGTTTCACTAAATGCATACAAAAGTATATCCACGGCATTTAAATAAAATAAATTAAAAAAAAATCTGTCTGTCTTTCTGCTTGTTCTTGCTAATATCTGAAACGGGTGGACCGACTTTGATGGGACTTTCATTTGGAGATAGCTAATGTTATAAGGAGTAACTCAGGCTATCATTATTTTAGGAATTTTATTTATCTATATATTAATAAAAAAGTAAAATTCCACGTGGACGAAATCGCAGATAATAGCTACTTATAAATATGTTTTTGCAATATGTGTTATACATACACAAAGATGGATTGATAAAAAATAATACGAACACAAAAGATCGAAAGCTTCTACATGCACGTGACACCCTGGTGTTTCTGGCCTCCATAGACTACGGTAACGATGGACCGTATGCTTATTTGCCACCAAGTAGTATAAAAAAAATCTTCCATAAAAGAAACTCGCTAGCACTAGTCTACGGTAACCGTTTACCATCAGATGAGCCGTATGTTTGTTTGCCAACATAGTGATTTAAAAAATATAGGTAATTTAAAAATTCTTCAATATAATAAGCTGGCTAGCACATAGTGATAATGTAAACATTAAATCAAATCATCAAACAGATTGGATTGACCATCAAGTTTGTGGCCACTGTCATTTGGCTTTGTACAGGATCGTTAATCATTCGTTACCAACGAATACAAACTATAATTTACTGTTTAATAGCTCTAGAGGCTTCTATTGTTAATATAACCAATATCTGAAATCTATGTAATTTTGTTTCAACTTGTTTAGTTTTGAAGCTATTTCTGTTCACTATTTATGTCGTCCGAGTATAATATTAATTGATCAGCATTATTGCCTTGGATTTCCATTATTTGTGGTCGCCGCAATATCATCCTCCTCACCTTAATGCACTACTCAAAATACTATGCAGTAAGAGGTTTTTTATGGATAACTAGCTGTCTTGGCAACGTTGTTTTGCCTTAAAATAAAAAAAAAATTGGGGTTGGACTACCCCTAACATTTAGGGGGATGAAAAATAGATGTTGGCCGATTCTCAGACCTACTCAATACGCTCACAAAATTTCATGAGAATCGGTCAAGCCGTTTCGGAGGAGTATGGGAACGAAAACTGTGACACGAGAATTTTATATATAAGATAAAAGAACAGCGCGCCCGCCTGCGCTACAGGTTTACGCTGGCGGGGCACCAGTGGAAGATGACAAAATGAACACGAGGTTAGGTCAGTTAGCTAATAGTGACAAATTTGTTAGGAATTTATCACGATGGTGTCCAGGAAAACCGCGTGGAGGTCAATCTGACTTAGTACATTGGTAGTAATGGGATCTTTAGTCCACACCCTGAAGTACGAGGTTAGAGAGCCAATTCGACTCATTGTACGTAATTGTATCAGATTTATTATTGCTTCGTATTAAATATGTTAAATATTTTGAGGTTGGGCTTATATTACTTGCTTGTATACATATATATTACTCACATAGTGCCTATGGAATATTTTCTTATATGTTCATCTTCTTTCATCTTCCTTATTCCATTTATTTGGGGTCGGCGTAATACGTTTTTCGCTTCCATTCATCCCTGTTCGCAGTCATCGCTTTATTTACTTCCTTTCTTACCATATCATCTTTCACACAGTCCATCCATCTCTTTTTCGGCCTTCCTCTGCCCTTATAACCATCCACATTCATATGTAACACCTTTCTTAAAATATTATCCTCGTTCCTACGCATTACATGTCCATACAATTCTCTTATATGTTCTACAATTAAAAATATTTTCGAATTCGGTAAAACAATAAAAAAATCGGTTAAACATTTCATGAAATTTCCTTTACATATCTATACATATAAATAAAATTGGAGTGTCTGTTTGTAATATTGATAATGAAATATCCGTTTCTTACTACATGCATATGAATATAAATATGGTACATACACCAAAAAGCCACTTTTTACAATTTATGTCTGTCTGTCTGTTCCGGCTAATCTCTGAAATGGCTGGACCGATTTTAACGGGACTTTTTTTGGCAGGTAGCTGATGTAATAAGGAGTAATTTAGGCTACTTTTATTTTAGAAAAATAAAGTTCAATTCCACGCGGACAAAGTCGCGGGTACAGCTAGTATACAAATAAAATCCTTATTTTATATGTATATTAGTATAAATGTGGGTTTTTATAAGTGGACGAAGGGTAATAAGACATTAGTTAGCTGATTGTGGCGAAATCATCTTCAATCTTCAGTGGCAACTTGAGTCGAAGTCGATCTGTTCGGAGATTGCTATCAAAGAAAGATTACTAATGTTACCACGACATACTGATTTATCTAAATTAGAGTAAATTTCTCTTACCAATCCCGGTGGTCCTGTAAGAGTGTGAGTCTTCCCGCTCCCAGTCTGCCCGTAGCAGAATGCAGTGCATGAGAAGCCCTCTATTGCCATTTCTAGAAGCCTCTTTACTCCAGAAAATTCTAGAACGTCCTCCTGTAAATACAATTAGGTAGTTTAGATTAAGAAATATACAATTCACGTGCTATGATATTCGGTGTCGTATTTGTTAAACTCTAAACGCAGTATATGACAAAGTTTTATTATATACTAGCTACTCGCCCTGGCTTCGCACGGATATACATGTGTTATATATATGAACCTTCCTCTTGAATTACTCTATCTATTAAAATAAACCGCTTCAAAATCCGTCGCGTACTTTAAAAGATTTAAACATTCATAGGGATAGACAGACAGTGACAGCGACTTTGTTTTATACTGTGTAATGACTCGTAGCGTAGTAGCCTACCCCAGCTATGCCTGGGTGCTCATATTATAGTCGATTTCATTGGAATCATGTAGGATCAAATGGTGAAAAAACCTCAAATCGGTGTAGTAAATTCAGAATTTACTCTCCTCATAACAAAATCAGCTGTGTTCCTTATTCATATATTGATCAGAAATATTTTGAGTCCAACGTATATCTATATGTAGCCTATCATTAGTTTAATTTAATTTGTATCTGTATTTCTAACATCGAAGATTCAGTCACAAGTTATAATTTGAGACACTTTTTTTGCAAATTGAACTCACAACCTTTGGATGGACTATCTAACCAAGGTACCTGCGTGGCCGCTGGCTCGAAGACAACGTTGTATGAGAAGACCTTAGGTTTTTGACCAGGCGTGCCGGTGTCGCAGATCACCTGACCCTTGCCAGGAAACTCCAGAATCTCGCGGTCACCACACGAACGCTCCTTTTCGTTCAGCGGACGAATTCTGATAAAAATATTACTTTACTAGCTTTTGCTCGCGACTTCGCTCGCGTTATTATATATAGGTATTTTATATAATTTATCACCTTAGGGGTGGAACTTATCAGAATCCTTTCTTAGGGGATGCGTAGGCCATAGTAGATTTATATAATCCAAAATGTATATGTATATATATATATACATTTTGGGTTGTATGTATTTTTTAACAACACATTATAAAAAAAAATTGTCCAAAAAATAAATAATATATGTTAGGGGTGGACAACCCTTATAACTTAGAGGTCTGAAAAGTAGATTCTCAGACCTACTGAATGTGCATATAAAATTTCATAAAACTCGGTCAAGCAGTTTAGGAGGAGTACACAATGTTAGTTACCAACTAACATTGTGACAAGAGAATTTTATATATAACATAAATTTTATATAGTTAGTTTATTGAGCTATGGTTGAATATGAGCTGATGGTTCATAGGGATCAGTAGGGGACGACAATGACAAACTGCCCTGATCCGATATAATGCGATTAAAACAATATAATGATTATGAAGGAACTATGACCAAATAGTAGGAAGAAATTACCTAAACGAATAAACTGAAGACTTCTATACAACGCACCTCTTTTTATATACACATTTAATATACGAATTTATAATTAAACTACCTCTTCGTACATATAATTTAGATATACAACTTTTGTTTGTGTAAAAGAACACACGCATACAGTAAAATAAACATAAAGTAACGTTTTTTTTATAGTTTATCCTCGTAATGTAATTTATTTTCACGCCTTTAACTCAGAGTCGTGAAAAGGTAACAAACAGTAGTTATTCACAATAATTCTTATTTTCAGTCACTCAAGCAATACAGTATATTGTACAAGTTCAAAAATGTAAGTAATGCCTACCTACCTTTTGCATACCCTCTTTTTCCTTTTTTTTCCCTATCATGACGTTGCAAAGATCACCTTACGACCCGACACGCGCGCGGGACGTTCCTAACACATAATTAAAAAGGAGTGGTGAAACTAAGTGCTTAACCAGTGATACTAATAAATACCCTGGACCCCTGATACATGCTGGAGAACATTTAAGCACTCGGAGCATCGAAAGGTACTACTATGTAATATTATATTATCTGTGGTACTACTGACATATATAACCTCACACGCTTCCACTTTGTTTCCCTAGCAGTACATATTATAAAAGATTTTATATTTAACGCATCTATTTATAATTTAATTATTTATTATGTATGAACCGTTATAACCATGATTTTATATCTAAATAATTACGTAGCTTAATTACAAAATTATTACCTGACCTTTTAATAATTATATCATTCTAATTAAAGTCATATTTCAAAGACAATTTTCTGTAAATTATTAATGAACACAAGTCTGCTTTTAGAAATGTGAATAGTTCATTTTCAAGTACACCCAAATCAATTATGTAAATAAAAATGTATACTAATGGATAAAAATACAATGTAAGTACCAATAAAAATATACTGTTTTATGTTTCATTGCATAGTAAATATTCAACTATGTAGATATTACAGCGAAGAAGTACCTACCTTATCTGATGAAATAAAAATAATTTAAAAACATATACATAGATATGTAATAGGTACATTTATTATTAATTAGTTGTAATAATGACTAATATATGTAATAAAATAATGACTAACGCTTTAGTTCTTTCCAAAATTCTATGATTAATTCCCAGAATTTACAACACCCAGAAAATAGATATTTCTTGTTCTTACTTTAAAATAATTTGTTATTTGACAGAATATAGTTGTTAATGTGACCATTCGTTTTTTACATTCGAAATTTAAATTAATTTCGTAAACTCACAGATACGACTTCTATGAGAACAATATTGCATCATCTTTCATTATGCGAGCTGCTAAGGAGTGCAACTCTCTCCCAGCGTCAATGTTTCCTGCCTCTTAAGAATATTGACTCTTTCACGTCAAAAGTGAATAATAATAATATCCTAGCACAATTCACACAGTGCCATTTAGTCGCAAGCTAAGCAAAGATTATGTTATGGGAAATAAATAACAGATATAAATACATAGATATATTTTTTGTAAATACATACATAATATTACATATAAAACACCCAAACCGATACAAACAATCATACAAATGTTTGTATCGTGCGAGGAATCGAACCCGCGATCCGTCATATAACCAATCCTTATTATTTTTTTATTCGAAACTTAAATTAATTTCGTAGAGTCACTAATAAGACAGAAAACAATATAGCAACATCTTTCCTTAGCGAGCAGCATATGGAATGGACCTCTCTCCCAGCATCAGGGTTTCCTGCGTCTTACAACATTGAGTTTTTCGAGTCAAGAGTGAATAGGCACTATTTGAGCTTGCGTGTAACAGCTTAGACCACATCATTACTTAACATCAAGTGAGATTACGGTCAAACGCGCTCGTAATAAAAAATATATATTGGTACTTCAATTTACATCTTACAAAGTAACCAAAATATAGCAACATAAAGTAATTTGAATATGGCATACGATTCCATATCCAATATTTTCAATTAACATAAAAGTACTCATCTATTAACAATATAATTTTATGGTAGCAAATAACTGTACTCATATGGTTATCCATATTATTTTTATGTTTGTAATCTATATTCTGTGGCTGACATAGATCTAGATTAATATGGGACTTTTATGTGTTTATTTTCTGTAAGCAAATAAACAGTTTAGTATCCAGTGTTATTAAATATTCATTATTTACTTCCTTCTATATTAAAGCTTGTAGAATCATTGTATAATTATTATAAACTATGGTTTCGCTTGCAATCAGCACGCGTAGTAATGGTAAGTGGAAATTTCCAATACTTTCCTTACAGATGCTTCTATAAGCATATTCTAAAGCAAAGCATTGATAATTTGAGCAAAATATTTTGAACAGTTTATTTTTTCAGACTACTCTAATGATGTTGGCCGCAGTTTATTCTGAGGGCACCGCTAGGGGTCCAAACCTCGGCTCAGGCCGTCGTAATTTCGATCCCCGTTTGAATTGGACGGGGGATCGATCGGAGGAGGGAATTCGAACAACTAAACTTCAACTGTTTGACTTTTATTCTGCTGACTGCGTACTTGATAGTAAACAGTAACTGTCGCGTATATACATAAACAGTAGTGATATTACGTTATCATGTGACACTGGTGATACCACCCATGCGTTACAATTCTAGAGGACTAAAATGTCATGCCTGCCCCGATATTTCTTTTAGTAGTTTTGATTGTGCCTTAATACTTAATAGTTAGTTAGAACAAATAATTTTATGAATATAAATATAGTTATATATTACAGTATAAATTATTAGGTACATACGGGTCAACATCACAACTCTTCTTTTTGCTTCGCCGTAGTCGAGTAAAAATGTATTGTTACTTAGCAATAAAGTTCGAAGTTCGTATATTTATTGAAAAACCTACGTTTTCCTATTATCATACAGCTAAATAATGGTGACAACTCATTGACAAAGTCACATTTAAATGATTGTCACCCTTAGTCTTTGGTACAAATTACAAGAGATAAGAGTTATAGAGAATTTATTAATCAAGCTGTGGCAAATATAATTATAAATAATATTTTAAATATTTATTATTCTATATATATATAATTCTTTCTTCTTCTTCTTTCTTTCTTTAAATATTTATTATTTATAGGAGAAATGCAAACTGAATATAAATTGTCTTACATGTTATTAATGTATCTTAAAGTTAACTTTTCTAAATTTTAACATTTTTTTAGGTGTTAATGAAAAAACTATTCGTTTTATATAACTTTAACTGCACCTTCCATTCTTCTCCAATAGCGTATTTTCCGTAATAAGAAGTACATGGTTTTGGTTTCCCATTATTAATGTAATAGATTTTTATTACTATTATAGAGGTATTAAAGTTCGTTTTTGAACAAAGAAATATTACATGAAATTAAGAATTTAAATAAATCGACCAATATTAATTGGGCAACGAAATTGGATCCGCGAGATCTTAAACCTTGGCCCTCAAATATTATGGTGGAAATTAAAATGGTTTATTCAAATGAAAATCAATATTCAAAGAAAAGTTCTGTCAACAACCTCACACTAAAGTAACGAGTTGTTGCCAAACGGTTAACACTTTTATTACTGTATTTATAAAGTTAATTGTTTAATTGCTTGAAATATTTTCTAAAAAGTGTTTTGTACTTTATGTAGTAAGGTAATAGTAAAACTATAGGGGTAATGATTGTTACTAATGGGAACTGTTAACACCTAGCAATTTACCATGTCACATAGACCTCCACGTGGTTCCCCCTAGGAACAATCGTGGTTAATTCCTGGTGATTTCATCATGATGGTCTGACTTGATATCATTCTCATTTTATCAGTTCTAATTGGTTATCCGCAAGTGCAACTGTCAATGTAGGCGGGTGCACCATGCCATTGTCATCTATTAAAAAACCTAGAGACATGAACAAATTCAAGAGGTCAAGTTAGCATTTCACACTGCGGTGAAAATCCGACCAAAAGATCTCTTGTAGGGCAGAACTCTTTTCTTATGTTACAGCGGCTTCTTCTACATATACTTCTACTTTTCAAGAGACTTTACTTACCTGACAACCACGTTGATGTTGTCTTCATCCGAATTGAGAGTGGTACTAGATCCTCGTGTACTTCTGTCTAGGCTTCCTGCTCTGCTGCTTCCACTGTAACAGAAGTAAGCACATCCGAGTCAGGGTTTAAAAAGAAGCTCTTCTTGAAAATTTCAATTAGTTTTGTAGACGCACAAATTGTACACAATGTTTAGTTTGTTTGCCTATTTTCGAAAAAACCAAAGGTGTAATACTGTCAGACCTCACTGTACCATGTGAAACGAATACACCTAAAGACCATGCAATGAAAACAAATAAATATTACAAACCAATCAACGAATTAACTAAAAATGTCTAAATGTTTAATTTATATGCGGTCGAAGTAGGAGCTATACCAGCTAAATATCTCTATAATTTTCTAAAAGATCTTGACCTGTTGAGAATTGCAGTAAGTTCTATGCTAAAACGTGTATCTTAAGCTGCACTAGCGTGTTCATACTAGATTTGGCTGGGGAGGGACGGAAACACAATCGGTGAATCGGTGAACTGACATACGTCGACCCAGGGGGCCCTTAAACATACACCACACAAGCATCAGAAGTCCTGAATACTGTTCGAAGATTTCCTCTTAGCCACATGATAGACACGGCGGTGAATTCATAGAAAGTTAGGAAGATCCTCTATGTATTTCATCTACTTTTTGAGATAAAACATAGCCTATATTTGTTCCGAGGATAGAATCTCTATTCATGTTAAATTTCATTAAGATTACTTCAGTCGTTTAGATATGAATGTAAATATCTTTGCTCTTATAATAGGATGGATTAGTAGCCTATTTACTTATTTCTTATCTGTTAGATAATAAAAAAATACAAAACCATGTGTATTCCATACATGATCCGATATTATAAAAAAAATTGTAAGATAATGGTGCACAAACAGCAGTTAATGGCGTCATTGATTCCATGATAACACATCATGGCATTAAATATTTATAACGCTATTTGTCATTATGAATGTAGCATAGTTTATGCACTTATCTACATCCAAGCCAAGGTGCAATCGATAGTTCAACTTGTTACGTATTGTTGGAGGTGCCGTGGCTATATTGCCTTATCTATACATTGTTTCCTATTTTAATTTCATGTAATAGATGTACTAAATACTTAAGACTCTAATTTTGGTGCCACATATTTAGCTATTTATATTTACTAGTGGTAGCCCTATGGTCAACATTCGACCTAAAACTAACAATAAACGAAAGAGTATGTTTACGTGTGTGTGTGAAATACATGTTAGTTATGTGTATGTTTTATTTATTGATTTAATGAAATTTTTAGGCATGGAAAAAATTTGTTTGAAGTGCCGTGACTCTATAGCCTTACCTATACATTGTTTCCTATTCTAATTTCATGGAATATCTTAATCAAATCATACTCTAAATTTGGTTCCACACATTCAATTATCTGTTTTGCTTAGTAGTCGCCCAGCGATCGAAATTTGACCACAGACTAACAATAAACAAAACAGTATATATGCGTGTGTGTGAAATACATAGTATTGTGTGTAATGTTTTATTTAAGACGTGCCCTGACTCTAGCCTTACCATTGTTAAATATTTTAATTTATATTTATACATTGTTTCATATTTTTATTTCATATAATACGTAAATAAAATCATGCTCTAAATTTGGTCCCACATATTTAATTATCTGTTTTGACTAGTGGTCGCCCAGATGTCGAAATTTGACCACAGACTTTAACAATAAACAAAACGGTATACCTAATAACGGTATGCGTGTGTGTGTGAAATAAATGGTAGTTTGTGTAATGTTTTATTTATTGATTTAATGTATTTTTAGGTATAATAAAAAGAATATTAGCATTCTGCATTCCTTTTTTATAGATATAAAATATAACTGTGCGAAATTTCATACTCTTCCGTCTTCAATTTCCGTAAAAAGGTGTACAAAGTTTTCGTCGTAGTTATAGTCCTAATAAAGTATTTTTCTTAGCAATTTGCATTTTAGGTATAGTTGGAGTATTGGCACCTTTTCATCTTTTATATACTTAGGAAACAGATTTGCTTATTAGTCATTCACGTATTAGGAATTGTGTTAGCAGTGGCCTGTTATTTTTTATAACTATTCTCTTGATGAGAGATCATCATATAGATTCTATATAGAATATAGTACGAGGCGAGAAGAACTGACAAACTTTGTTCTATCTCTTATAAAATGAGATTATACGTAATAAGAATAGTATAGTAAAATTAAGCTATAACTAAACCCTACTGTCCAATCTAAACAAAGAAACGTCCAAGTACGTCGAAAGTAAATACATTTTTGACAAGGTTATTTTTTGTTGAATTTTGTTTAATGGGGTTTTGATTACAATATGCTTTCTATCCACATGACAACTACACAAACAGAAATTAATGAACATCGGCCGTAGTACTACGTTAATATTCCAACACATATAAGGAAGGACAATATTGTATTAATTATAATAATAACACCACGTGTAAGAATATAGTTACTAAAACACTGTAGTTACTTAAAGTAACTAACATGTTTTTTGCAGGTAGTAATAGAAAAGTGTTTTTCTGCAACGGTCTAATAGCTGGACATCGTGGTTCTTAGATAGTCAAACACTAGTTCTACATAAATATTAATTTGTTGGTGGACTGCCCTACTTCACGCTCATCTTATCAATCATCATCCACTCTCAAGTGTTCTATATAGAACACATATAAATAAAAATTAGTGTACAATAAAAAAATACAAATATTTTTAAAGCTAACAACAATTTATTTTTGTACTGCAGAACGATGGATAGATTGCGTGAAAAATTATATGTATTAAAGGAAAGTGAGCTCAGATTTGGTAGAGATCAGTGGAAGATGATATACTACGCCTACCATAAATAATGGGATAAAGGCAAGGCAATGATGATAAGAACGTCGCATTTTTATCCCATTTGACGAATGACTTTATTTATAAAGTCTCTTATTGTACCAAAGATATAATACAAGAATTGTACTAACAGGAGATTTTAATGCACAAAATGCAGTGTACCGCAAGCAAGCAATCTCTTCCAGATAACCTTTAGGTAAAGCAAAAACGATAAAAAAATGGTAGATGGTTCATGAATAGCATATTAGAATATATTTTGTATTAAATACGTTTAGTTAAATATACTTTAATAATAATAATAATAAATGTATTTTTTAACCAAATTGTTTCACATTAGTATTGCATTACTATTTATATTTTTTTTAAGCCGGTTCTGAGACCTCCTTGTAAGTATAATTAAATACTTGTGATAGGACATCACGCTCTTCTACGGTTATTTATTATTATGCTATGAATTTGTTCCTGCAATTGAATACCAATAACAAATTTTAAAGGGATATTTCTTGCATAAAATAATAATGCTGATTGTAGGTTGACCGTGTTGTGGTGTAGACCATTAAAGTTAAAGCCCTGTTTCAAATAGAGCAATGAATATTCAATGGGTTTTCCCGGGTCTTGGGAGATTGACAGGTGACGTCACGTGACGTACAAAACAAGATGGCGGCAAATGTCAAGGACTCCCGCCCTAATGATATAACTTATTATAAAAGGCTCTCCCAACATACAGTATTCGTTTTTTAGGTTTCGAGACAGAAAATAAAACAGAAATAGAAATATTCTTTATTCAAATAAACTTAATATAAAGCACTTTTGAATAGTCATATTTTTTATTCTACCACTCATTCGGAACGCAAATTGATCACAAGAAGAATGAGTAAGAGAATTAAGAAGTAAGATGAATAAATACAGATAATGAATAAATCAGGGTAGTTATAAGGGTTACAAAGGACTAAAGAGTGATGGATTGTGTGAAATATTATATAACAAGTAAGGGTGTATATAATAATATGATTGTGAATTAAAATGAATTAAAAAACATATTATTCCGACCCCAAATGATATACCAATTTTTTATATTAATAACAATTTTTATAGTGTTGAAAAATCTGTTCAGCCGCCGGGGGATTTTTTGTTTGTGGGGATTCTTACTCACTAAAAACCACACAGTGTACCTATAAGTATATCATTGCCTTAGTTGGAGCGTCGAGTTTGCATTCTATAACGATTTAATGAAAACCTCATGAATGATATACTTTGAATAATGGAAAGAAGATCATAGTCTGAGGGATATTTGGTACAAAATTGTCTGTCTGACTTTAAAGTACCTTTGTCTTATTTGTTTTTGCGGCCAGGAATATTGCTGTGTAAGTTGTGTTGCAGTTAAAGGAAGATATAGAGCAGTAAAATTAAGTACGGACGCATGACTCTTTAGTCCTCTAGAATACCAAGGATGAGTGGTATCACGGACAGCATACCGTGAAGTTTCATCCGTGGTGCTAGTTATTTATACATTCAACTATTACCACTTCTTATTAAGTCGGCTATTAGATTGTTTACCTTTCCAATTAGGCACACAACAAAAGTATATATCGTCTTTTGGTGGAAACAGAAAAAAAGGTTGAATAAATTCAGATATTAGATCAAGGTTCGTCTATCAATAAATATCATTAGAAACATCAATGAACGTATGTATAGTGGTGTGATTATTTAGTAATTGCTACATCAATGTGGATGACGGTGGGGAAAATTAGAATGGTGCCAGTGAACTTCAATACATTTTACTCCTGTAAAAGGTAAAGAAATCTAGTAACGTTGAACAAAATCCAATTCTAAAGCTATAGCAGGTAAGTAGGTATTACAGTGTTAATATTTAAAAGTAACTACGTAGTTATAAAAACGCTAAACATCTACTAGACAACATATTTCCCGAGTTTAATTTCGTCAATCAATACGTCTTGGCTAAAAACTTCTAAAATGGTTAAGATAATAGCAAACATCTACCATTCCTCGAGTCTAATGTAGTTAATAATTTTTCTTAGCTGGAAACTTCTAAAATAATGAAGAGAGTTGCATTATGAAGCCTAGTGATTGTCAGCTGCGGCGTCGAGGGTGGGTTGAGGAGCAGGACCCTCACAAATATTAAAAATATATAAATATAGACTTTATGCACTATAAATTTCATTTCATGAATTTTCAGTA